TGCCTCAACTCGAGGCTTACCCAAATTCAATTCAGGTTGGAGCTTTTTTGTCCAGATCTAACTGAAGTATTAAAAATTCTAACCTAAGCCTTTTCTTTTTTGAGTTGGGCTCAGGTTGAATTTGGGTTGCCCCGCCCAAGTTACACCCTTACGAAGAATAGAGATAGGGAGTGAGAACATTCTCCTTTTTAGGGCCAATTAAGTGGAGTGATTTAGGGAATTAGGGTAAATTTTGAGTAGAGTGATTTAGGAAATTTAAAAATTAAAATTTTTAAGCAGGCTTAAATTTTTCGTGAGTCAATCTAGTGCGTTAGATCAAAAATTTTGAAATGATTTGAGACATTAATAGTTCGAGACATAGTTATCAAATCGTGCATCGGAAGACGTATCGTAAGATACAAATATTGTATCGTATCGTGTATCATAAGATACGGTGCAATTTTAAATAAATAATAATAAAATATATATACATTTGAAAAAAAGTTATACACTCATAAAAACATAGCATTTCATTAATACTCCACTAACTATTCAAGTCATCAACATAATCCACTGCTATTATAATGCAAAGTTCACAACCATAGTTCACTAATTCAAACTTTAAACACCAAAGAGACTTCTAATCCAAATTTCTAACATCCATTTTGAACTCAATCTTCAATTTCAATTGAAAATGCATCATCATCATCATCATTGTGGTCGGATGCCAACAAGTCTTCACTTCCTTCATCATCTTCAACTTCTTGTATTTGTTCATCCTCATCCTCATCCTCATCTTCAAGTTGAACTATTTGCTTTCCTTTTTTCTTGTTTAAAGTAAGATTTCTAGGCCCTACAAAGCAACCAATACAAAATATTAAAAAAAAAAAAATTCAAAGTAATGGAGAAGAAGAAAAAATAACGACTACATTTTAATTACCTCTCTTTCTCTTTTTGCTAGTCCCTTCTTGAACCTCAAAAAATTTACCAACATTCATCCAAGTAGTGTCATCAAGAAAGAGTGCATCTTCTTTTTCAGTGATGCACTCATCATCAGATTCCATATCTGAGAGAGAAATAGGATCATAGGAATCACCCTCTAGTATTCTCTTTTGATGTCTTGCCTCCAATCGAAAATTGTACTTCACAAACACAAGTGCACTTAATCTTTGCTGCTCTAATCGATTTCTCCTCTTAGAATGCACCTGGTCAAATGTACTCCAATTCCTCTCACATCCTGTGGCACTACAAGTCAAGCTAAGGACGCAGATAGCAAGTTGTTGCAACTCTGGACAACATCTTCCAAATGATTTCCACCACAAGGCTATAAAAAATTACAATAGAATACTCCATTAACTAACTTAAACAATTGCATTCAAATAACTAACTTAAGTTAGGTTACCACTAACCAGGTTGTTTCTTTTTCCTCATCTGGATTGTCATGTCCATTCCAAACATCAAATCAGCATTATTAAATATATCTAATTGTTTATCAACTTTTTCTCTCATAATAGGACTTGGACACATTCTCTGAATAGTCTGATAAAGTCTCATCTTTATCTCACAGTCCGCACTACCGGTGTAATGAAACCTGAAATAGTTATTTTGATTTACAATGATCATTGATCAGTATATAATATATAGATATAAAATGATATAAAAATTGAGAAAATTAAATCTTACGCGGAATTGAGATAATAGACAGCTGCATGAAGAAGTCTGTGTAATTGCATGTTCCATCTAGTATCAATAATAGTCCATATGGGCTCATAGTGCTTCTTCACATTACGAAAATTCTTTTGGATCTGTTCCTTTTCTTTGTCCATTGCCTCGTAAATATACCCCATAGCAGGCTTTAGATCCCCATCTACAAGCCTCAACACCTTCACCAATGGCAACACACACTTCAAGCAATACTTGATTGATCCCCAAAAATTTTGGTCAATTAGTATAATATCCATCACTTTTACATCATCTCCCTTCTTACAATATTGACTTCTCTGTCATTCCTCAGAAGCAAACATTGCTCTAAGCCCAATTTTATTTTCAAATAAACTCCTTAAAGTTAAATATGAGGTGGCAAATCTGGTCACACAAGCTCTCACCAAATTCCTTTTCTTTGTATACTTCCTCATAAGATTTAACACCCAAGAATGTCTATAAATGTAAACTGTGATTTTTCTTCCCTTTGACATTATATCCTTGTGTAGAGAAAGGTCCCCAATATCCGTCAAAATGAGATCTAGAGAATGTGCAGCGCAGGGAGATCAAAACAACTTTTTCCTCTTTGTCACTAACAACTCCCCAGCTTTTACATAAGCCGATGCACTATCAGTTACAACCTAAACAATATTATCCTCACCAATCTCTTCTACCATTGAATCTAAAAGTTCAAAAAGATTATCCACATTCTTACAAATACCTGAAGTATCAATACTTTTAAGAAACACACTTCCTCTAGGACTATTCACTAAAAAATTCGTGATAGAGCGATGTTTTCCATCAGTCCATCCATCAGACATAAGAGTACAACCCGTTTTTCTCCACTTTGCTTTATAATTTTTTATCGATCCACCATTAATCAAATTTGTTTCTTTTTTCAAAAAAGAACATCTCACCTCATGATACGATGGAGGTTTCAATCCCTTGCCAAACGATGCAACAGATTCTAACATTCTTACAAAATATGGATCCTTTACCAAATTAAAAGGAAGGGCATTAGCATAAAAACATCTACAAATATCCAAGCATACATCTTCCCTACCCTTTTTCTTCAACATAGTATTCAAAGTAATTGTGGTGGTTGGCTGTATTTTATCAGCAGTAGTACTACCCACACTGCCACTACTTTTCGAATCCACAAGACTCANACGGTATTCAAAGTAATTGTGGTGGTTGATTGTATTTTATCAACAGTAGTACTACCCACACTGCCACTACTTTTCGAATCCACAAAACTCATATCTTTGCTAATTGCCCTATCATCCAATAATTGCTTAAAAAATTCAGTTACTTCCTCAGGGCAATGCTTATATGCTGCTACATCTTTGTGATTACCTGCCAAATAATTTTTCATTCTTGAAATGCCTTCCCAATAGACATTTGCACAATGAATGCATTTTAATTTCAACCTTGATCCTTCTACTTTGTCACAATGTTCCCATGTGAGATCATTAACAAGTTTTTTAGTCATTTTTATATGAAAATTGGATGCAGATGATGCCACTGTTGCACAAAATTAAAATTAATCAATATTCAGAAATTTTTATACAAAAAAATTATATATACAATGGCTTTGTAAATAAATTAATATCATTTCTTACATGCATAGAACCAACGATCAATGGAGACTGGGAAGAAGAAGAAGATGAAGAAGAAAAAGAAGAAGGAGTACCTAGGGAAGGAAGAAGGCAGCGATCAACGATCACCCACAGTCGGAGACCAGCAATCACCCACAGACGAAGACCAACAACCACCCACAGTCGAAGACCACCCACACAGTTGAAGACCACCCACAGTCGATCACTTGTCATCGATGGCTGAAGAGAAACCAGAGACCTCTGAGTCTCTGACTTGCGATAAACGAAGGCCGAATATGAGAGAAATGAGGGATTTTTTTTTTGTAACCCTAACCACTGAAACGACGTCGTTTTAGTGGTTATAGGAATTAAAAAAATATAATCAAAGCACAAAACGATGTCATTTTTTTTAAAAATAAAAAAAATTACACGTATCGTGCGTATCGTACCGATACGTATCGTATCGTGTATCGGACGATACAACGCAAAAACGATACATAACTACGATCCGTATCGTTTTAGGCCTGTATCGTAACGTATCGCACGATACTAACAACTATGGTTTGAGACAGTTTGAAAAAGCGTCGTCCGTCTGATGATATTTTTTTTGATCACCAAACCATCTAGACTATTCTTTGTCTCTTAGATTCAAAATCGTTCTACTTTATATATTCAGGTTAAATCTGGTTACCCGATGCTCAACCCATGTATTGTCCAAATTTAATTCAGGTTGATATTTTTCAGTCTAGGTCCAATTCAAATATTAAAAACCTTAACCCAAGTCTTTTTTTTTTGGGTTCATGTTGAATTCGGGTTAGTCTATCAAATTGCACCCCTAAGTTTTTAAAATAGTTTTTTAAATCTGTTTAATAATTTTTTTTTGTCAAAACGGCACCATTCCATTAAACAACACTCTATTAGTTTCTAACTATAGAGGAGCCGGGCCCAAGAATATAGCCAGCGACTCTCTCTTTCTCTTATTTTTCTTTCACCGATACTAATTAAACATAATTTACTCATTTAATTTATTAACTTAATTATTCATATAATTATTGAATTAATTGTGAACTCTAAATATTTGTTGAAACTTACAATTAATTTAATTATTAGAATGAATTAAACTAGCAAATTAAGTCTAAATTTCTTTTACCTAAATGATGAGTCAATTTGGCATGTGATATAATACACGATGCAACATTTTTTTATATACACATTGCAATGAGGATAGGCTTGACTGAGATGGCATTTTAAATGCAATTCATTTAATAACTTTTATCAAGAACACTTTCACTATTATGTGTAATTTTATATGATAGTAAATCAATATATGTGCACTCAATTTTTTATTATCTAAAAGTATGCATAAAATTATATATCATAAAAAAAAAAAAAAAAAACCAAGTCAAACTTTTTTAAACTAATTTTTCTAAACAAATCTAAAAATTATTCAAATTCAACTTAAATCCTACTTGTCAAATCTAAGCCGTCGATTCCCGGCCCAAAGTAAAAAACATCAAAATCTTAACTAAAACTACTTACTCATTGTGCTGATTGAGTGCATCTTTTGCAATACGTTCATTGCAACAAACTGATGCCATTGAACACTAAGCACGACTACGTCGTTAACAATTGACCATGCGAAAATTTTTTAGCTAAAAATAACGCCGCCGCCGCCACCAGTGTTGCTCGGAACAAATCCTAATATGGATGCCATTGAAATTTCGGTGGTTCATCGGTCTTGACTTCCAGGGCTCGTGTTTTTCGCTGTAATAGAATCAACAACGTTTTCTAATAAACCACAAACGAAAAAGAGTCTATACATGTGAAATGTCGTCTAAGCGCCACCCTCAGTTAGGCTCAAAAATATAAAAAATTTAACACTTCATAAAGAGAACAGTTTGAATCCTCCCACACACAACCAAGTTTGCCACAAGGACAACTTGAGAAGGGACAAATTCAATTTGAGCAAATTGTATAGGAAAGACGTTGGGAAGACGGGCATCGACGTGTTGCATCCCCTTACCTTTGCCCACGAATGAAAAATTGTGGAATTGAGGTGGCAACAGAATAAGAAGCAGGCGTTTTCACAACTCTACTATCCGATCAATTCTGTTCCACTTAATCCCACTTTCATGACCACATATCTTTCCGACTAAGGAATGGTACAAATTAAAAATGTATGGCTCATGTCATCTAGAAATATTGTTCGATGACCCATAAATTACAACGCTTCCCGCAGATGCTTGGTTTGCTGCACGATTGCTTCCAAAATTTTTTCGATTTGATTCCCTCGCAATTCTGGAACCAAACTGAAACAGAGATGAAAAGGTGAAGATCATTATATGTACTAAAACCCAATTTCAAATGAAATTGATTCAAGGGAAGATAAAGATATTATTTGTCGTCTTCTTTTTTTTAGCCTTAGAATTCATTGATGATCCATAAAAAATCATTTTTTGATGCTAAACTCAATGATACAGCCTAGAAAGCATAAGGGAGCAATTTTTTCATCTATCAATACTTTTAAGACTCTAATCAGTCTTTTAAATCTGAAAACAATTATTTACATCAAGTCCAGATTCAGCTTCAAACATGACCTTTACGACACTCTTCATAAAGAAAATTGATCCCATTAATTAACTACCAATCGTGAAAGTTCAACCCATGATATTCTCAAAGACATTTACATAGGTTTCAATACAAATGAGGAAATTATAATAACAGCATAAATGACAAACGAGGAAAAGTGTGGTGACTGCACTAATAAAACTTAAAATTAAGGGGCACAGGGCAGAAACAGAAAGATGGTTTCCACTGGCAGTAAAACACAGAAGCCAAGACATATAGAAAGGATACCCATGCGACCCAAATTTAACAAATTCTGATATCAAAATTTCTCAAAAATATGCTCTGAGCACATCCATGTGATTTAAAATCATTGATGATTGACCTACGATAGCTTTGGCGAGAAATTCAGTATAAAGTGAATAGCAAAACAACTTCAGTTATTCCAATCTTGAAAGGAGGTCAAAAGGCAGTAGAAATTTGGGGAAACAAGCTATCTGTAAACTCCATTTGTAGTAGATTCTGTGCATAAAGCTCATGCATAAACACTAAAGATGTGCTGAAAACCACCGGGAACACAAAAGACCGGGATACTATCGTCGACAGATGAACGAGTTTGAAAGGGCAATCCTACATGAAGTGGCATTACTATGACAACAACTGATATCGTTAAAGTAAGATGAAAGCTCAGTAAAACTTCCTACAAATAATTTCTGATTATGCAGAATAATATGAGAATGAAAATGCTTAAAACACCCAAAATTGGTTTTTTCGTTCCTTCCTGTTTATGCAAAATTTGTGGACATAAAATAATGAAAAGATAGCAAAAGAAACAATGCACACCTGGATTGCTCTTTTAGGAAGAACAGCTGCTTCATATAATCCAAGCAACTGTGCAACCTTCAAGAAATTTGACACAAAGTTGGTCATGATTGCAACATGAAAGCAATGGAATTAAATTATTTCAAACATTACAAAGAGCATAAAATCCTAAAAAATCAACATAAACTACTAGATTAAATTTGGACTGATTTTCATTATATGTTTTTGGAACACCCAAGTTTCAAGCATGGGTGGTAGTATTTTTCCAGCCATACCCCAGATCATGCTTACAAAACTTCCCAACATGCTTGGTCTAAATTATTAAGTAATTACAACTTCCTAACATGCTTGGTCTGAATTATTAAGTAATTTTGTTAAGTTACACGAAGTCAGAAAAGGATTCTCTGATGTGACATCTGTCCCATCGTCTTCTTTTTTTTAACTGTACATCTCCCCCTGTAGACATTAGCAATGATGGACGCTTTGTTGACACCTTAAATATGCCCAGACTTTTAGAGCAAAAAAACTCCACCTTTAAAATAACTTAGAACATCAAAAAATATAGGTGGGGCCCTGAATTTGCTTACATTTATTTTAACCGTGGACACCGAAGAGAGAAATTGGATACAACCTAACATTTGACATTTAAACAAAATGATCGCACTTGTATTCAAACCCACAATCTCACTATTGTGGATCCAAGTTTGTGCCACACCACCTGGCAATGGCCCTTTGTTCTTAAGTTATATCTGATACAGAAGGACAAATGCTCTAACTTGACCATCATGAGCATTAAGTAATATTCTCGCTTTAAACGTGACGATTTTCTGAATGTTGCCATCAAGCATGTTATAAATCGTAAGCATGGATGCTCAAGGATACATGATTCCCAAAACATGTAAGCATGTAGTGTTCCCCACAAAATACTTTCACCAGCACATACTGTCATGCCCACGTCATGGTATGACAATATATGTCGTAAGATGTCATTTGGTAAAAGTAAACTTTGAACAAAGAAACAACACACACCTCTCTCAGAATCTTCTTATCACCCACCCCAGTTGGTTGATCAAGGTCAGCAAGCTCCCACAAAGGAATATCAAGCAGAATCCTTATGACATCCTCATCCAAGAAAGGGAATCTAGCCTAGGAAAACGAACACTGAGACCATTATTATGCAACACAAGTCGAGAGAAAAAAAACTTGTTTGAGTTACAACAGTACCTCCTTGCCATTATCGGCAATGCATCTATCATCTCTTCCTAGGTTTCTCTTCCATATTCTCTGCATGTCTAATTTCATTTCATCGTGTAGCCCAAGCCAACTGATGATAAAGAGAGTTGAACCACCAAAATGAGGACAAATGAAACCACCAGAGATATTGAGAATGGAAAACAGTCCCAACATACATGGGACTTTTCAACATTAATACCCACACACAGACAAAATAGTCCTAAAATGCATAACTAATTAAAAGGCACCCATAGCAGAGTTGCAGAAAACAATATCTTGTGCATGATAGAAGCACACCTTCCATGTCTATATTTTGTCCTATGCCGACCATACCCAGCACATTGTTCATCTGCACCAGAACCAACCAGAAGGATCCTAGCCTCAGACTTGTACTTAACACGCTGGTAGTCAGCACTAATACTATTGTTCATGCCTTCATACACCCAACCATCACCCTGAGCTGCCAACCACAATGCTATACCAATATTGAGGTCCTGCAACATAAAGAAAAGATGAACATCATAGACCCAAAGGTGTACTGGTAGGCAGATTTGTTTTACTTTTTCGGAAAGGTAACCAATATATACTAGAAAGAAATCAGAATTTTGTTTGAATCCATAGTTTCGGTTAGCTTGGAAATGTTTTGCAAATGTTTCAAAAATTGAACGGAAACAAAGATAAAACTTGGAATTTAGGTTCTGAAACATCCCAAAACATTCTGTCATTTTGGGAAACAAAATCATTTAGGAAGAAACAAAACTAATTTTTGATTCTTGAAAGCAGGCATTCCAAACAAAAATGGAGGGGTATTGAGTGCCAAAAGTTCTTTTAATATGGAGAAGACAAAGTATAGAGCTTATGGTTTTCCTTGATATATCACAAATAAAACTCTCAACTAAAACAAAAATAAGAAAGGGAGACCAACAGAAGGCAAGTAGATTGTACTGTGCAACTATTGACATTTCACCAAACTGGAACTCCATATAGGGACTCAGAAAAACAGAGCCGTCCATTAACAGCTCAGGCTTAGCTGGTTTGCAGATCCTTCAGGCTCATTTGTCTATCAAAACAAGCCAAGCCCAAGCATAAGTTAGGGTTTAACCAAGCCAAAGATTGGCTCAGACAGGCTTGCAAACATCAGTTGGTGTCCGATATTGCAATATCATTCAAGTAATATGTCAATTTGTTACACTTACCCACAAGAGAACTATAGTTATCTTAACCATTTCTGGCACGAATGCCGATGTCACATGAATCCTATAATCACATATTTTCAAATGTACAGATGAAATATTTGTTTTGTTTAAAGTTGAAAGATAACCGAAATGTTGTTATTACTTGTTCGATGAGTCGAGCGTGCAAGCACATCATGTTCGCAATGGAACACTGATCTGGGTTCCAACAGTAATATGCCAAGCTGGAGCTCGAGTAGCCCACTACTCGGCTCAACTCAATTTATTTGCACACTACTCACAAGTTACTTACACAAACATCTATGAAGAAAGTACCAAGTGCTACCTATGAATTAAGACTACGTACCATGTAGGTCTTTGCAGGATTAATAAGGGACATGACGTGCTTTGTCTCAGAGGTCAACTTCAACAAATCAGCATCAATCTCTACAAGTTTCCATCTGCACTTTCAACCCCTTAAATTGAATTTATTAAATATCAGGGGAGCCAAAAAAATAAAATAAAAGCAAATAACAATAAGAGTCCATGTAAGGAAATGATTTGAATACTCTCCTGCTTGATGCACTTATATGAAACCCCCTACTTTAATCTCAAGATTTAACTCTACAATAACATTATCAAATGAATTTCTAAAACCATTCGTTATTGGTTACTTGGATATTTAATAAGAGTTATTATTGCTCAATAACCCAAACACTGATAAAATTGGAACCAAGATAAAAAAAATTTTAAAAAAAAACTTACAAATGTACCTCCTCAATGGTGCAACTTTTTTAAGTTCCTTTACACCTGCCCTAGCAGAGATTCTATCAGGAGCAGATTGACCATCGAAGCTTACATTAAGCAGATCGATTTCATCTGTTAGCACAATTTTGATGATAATGAGGCAAATATTTTGCAGCAGAACATTGCGATTGAAGAAATGTTTTACGAGGTTATAAACATAAATTTTCCACGAAACAAAATATAAAACAAGCATATAAAGCAACACTCACATTTGGGATCAAGGCACTCATCCAATAATGCTGCAAGTATCATAGAATCCAATCCACCAGAAAAAAGCACTGCCACAGGAGAATATGCCTTTTGTCCACAATCAAATACAACTGCCTATGCATCACATAGAAGATAGGTCAACAAAATTCCAAAATTAAAGTTATAGAAATCAAAAACACTATAAATCAACAATTTTCAAGGTAATGCAGCCATATATTTTGCAGCATATGGTTGAACGATATTTATCTGAAACTAATATCATTATGATCTGGCATTTATCAATAGCATCGAAAAGACCAAGACCCAGCTAACCAGGGAAGCAATTAGCAAGAATGTACTAGGTAATCCTAGGGAAGGCTTGTTATATTTTTGTAAGTTAGTCCACAGTTTTAAGCCTGATTGAATCCAATGCAATACTGAAACCTTAGAATTCCTTCCAAATGGAAAATGGAAACACCCAAGGTTTTCACAAACTTAAAACCTTGACTCAACATACTAACTTCTAGAGACTTGAGCATAAAGCGTTAGCTATTCCCAGACTACTTTCAAAACACTATCAAAACCAAGCACACAAATGAAGCTTTCCACGTTTCCAACAACCTATGGAGCCAGAGCAGATGTATTCAAATCATTCAATTTCAAACCTGATAAATAGTATTTAACGAAGTGCGCAGCATTACAGATTCTCTCAAAGCAATCAGCACGGCCTGTGATGGCGTTAAAATTGTTGTCTGCATAAAACCTGGAACAGTCGGAAGAAAAATGCAGTTAAGGCTTACGAGCTTTTTGGGATCTGATAAACACAAAATTATTGATGTAAAAAAGAACTCTTCATGTAGTATAATAGTATCATGGTGCAATATTGACCTGACTCTGATTGCCTTTCAAATGAATGAGCTGAATGTATGTCTTGTTGCCCACTAGGAACCTTTTTATTAGAATCATAACTCATCTCAGGTTTGGGCTCAACAGAAGTTCTTTCCCACTTGATCAGTTCTCTTAGCATGGGATTAGTCCACTCGTGCTTTTTAACTTCACCAACCATGTACCTCTCCATACTTGATGCACGCATGGATATACTGTACACACCACATGGAAGCTCTTCCCAGAAATTTAGTTTACCCATTTCATTTTCATTTCCCAGACCTGCAAGCAGATTGAAGAATGTCCAGCATCAAGCATGAATTACTAAAGCTAGATCTTGAGGGTCCTTTTATCCACCACAAATGTTAGGGCATGGTAAATGAGTAGGGGATAATCTGCAAAGGTGGACTAGATGAGTGGTTCTTGTTTATCAAACCAAACAAATGATTTTATCCACAAATTAACTAGATCACCAACTAAATAACAATACTCAGTTAATTTGGATGTTTCCATCTCAAAGCCACAACTATTAGGCAACTCACTTGCTAAGCAACATAGTAAGAAGTTCCTAATGTAACTTTGAGAAGTTCATCTGGCAACTCCATCTCCTGTGTCATAAACTATAGTTGACATAAAGAACTCTTGCATTTAATTAACTCGTCTATATCTAGACTTCAATTAAATTTCATGCGCAAAGGTATATCAAGACAGAACAAAGATCTCAGGTATTAAAGCAACAGCCCATGGAAGGTATGATCCCCCAGGCTCAGCGAAAGGTTGCCAAACTCGTAAGTTCTGCGCATAAGATAGAATTTCATCACTTCTCCCAGCATCACGAATAAGCAAAAGGCTCCATGCACTGCTCTTATTGGGAAACACTTATCTAATTTGTACAACACACATTGCCAATCTATACAGTTGGACAAAGATGAGAACAAGCTATAAAACATGAATTTGGCAATAATGACAACATACAATGAAAATCATGTTTTCAAGTGGGTATATCCAAAAAAATATTCACTTTCAAGCAATGATATTTACTTCCACTACCTTATCTATTTATCTTTCTTTTTAGCACCCGTTGTACAACAAAACTTGATATAAAGGAAGAGATGAGTAAGGCTCTATCAAGCACTATATACCAGAACTCTCATGAATGGGTGAAAATGGTGATACAGAAGACAGCAGAAGCCGGGGGTCCTCTGAAGTTGGCCAGTGAACAAGGAGGCTCCGCCTTCCAAATGCATCTCGACCCCACCACAAGGTATTTGAACTATTCTGCACATGAAAGCACCAGTAAAACTTCCCGAAGTAAATGCTTAAAAGGACACAGCCTGCATCATTTAGATTCATTACAAATAGAAACTTACCACTCAAAGTTACCTGCCAATAGATTAAAGCCCACGGTCCCTTAATTCTTGAAAGAAGTTCGTGAACAGAACTCTGCCCCTTTCCAGGGGAAGAGCAAGCTCTAATATGTTCAGTCGAACTGCAATGGCAGCAGTTTCCCAGATATTGCATTAGAATATCAGCATCATTACAATCACTGCTAACATGAATTCCTCCAAAAATTTCACCTATAATTTACAATAATCCATCACATAGAATAAAATAAAAAGGTTCACAACTTCAACATCTGGAAAATAAAACCCAAATCCATCAAACAAGAATTCTACAGGTCTTGTATTCAATCATGTCCAGAATGTGTCTGAATCTTTCAACGACAAAATAATAATGAAAATAATGATGATAATAAGCAAGCTAATACCAAGCCCCCCAAGCAATAGGAGGGGCTGGCGGAGACGTCCATGATTATCCGAAGTTGAGGGATCAACTTGAGCCAAATTATAGATTCGTTGCTGTAAAAAATATCAAGAATTTGAGAAATCAAAGATTACGTTCCATACAGAATAGACAGAGGGGAGTTTCATGACACAAATCGAGCAGAAGTAAAGTGACTTCAAGGAAGAAGAGAGACAGAGCTAGAGGAAGCATGGTTTGTCTGAAGTGAGAAAGATGAATGATGAAATACAACTGTCTAAATTCTTGCCCCGGACACAGTCAAAAGCATTAGATCACTTTCATGTGAATGTTCACACTTGAATAACATGGATTTAGTAATATAACATCATGCAGAAAAAGCCTGATTGTTGAGATAAAATCTTATAAGTAAAATGTTACATAATACCTATCTATAACTATGTCACATTCATTCAACCAAGTCTGATTTGGATGCAGAAGGGAAGCCAAATACACTACACCAAATTTTGTGAAGATATTAGTCATGAAATCTTGGAGTAATAACAGTACGCATATACTAATAGAGTAACAGTTCCCAAAAAATGATTTAAGCTCCATCGGCCTCCAAATCCTTTGACCGAATAAATTCTGGAACATGTGCAAGGCCATATCAGATGGCTGGCGTGAAAAGAGCAACTTTAAGAAATCCATAGCCAGCAAATAGGCACCCCAAACTAATACACTAGGAATTAGGGTTCCAGGAAAACTAGAGTCAAAATATAGAGTCAAACGGGATCATGTCGGACAAATATAATTATGTAACTCTTATTAGGTCATGAACTTACCATTATAAATAAGGATATTTCCCGATGTATCTACCAATGGCTGAACGATAGGATTAACACCCCTTAGTTGTAATGTGGCACCAAGAAAGTGAAGCTCTCCAAAAGGTTTAGTCCCAATACCATTGTCTAGCCTACAATGTTCTTCACTTGTAGAAAGTGTGCAATCAAATATCTCACTATTACGCCCCAAATCCCTCTTTGTTGCCTCTTCTCTCTCAATAACAGATACATCTTTTCCCTCAATAGAATATGAAATCTTTGGATGAACAAAAACAGTCTTGCTTCCCAAGCTGTCTGGACCCCTTCTCAACAGAGCTGTTTTGATGTCGTCTACTGAAAACACCACCTAGTACGCCAAAAAAAACATTAAACCACTGCTCCAAAATGTACTAAAACCACATAAGAACCTATCATGAGGTCCTCCATCTTTCCCATAATAATGCTAAACCTATATCAAAAGAAACTAGAGTTTCGAAAATTCCCAACATCAGAAAAAGTATTCAAACCTCATCTTTTCTTAAAGTGCATGAATTTCAAAATCCGAAAGTTTCAGAGAGTTTCCCAATCATTGTCTTATAGCTTCAAACTTGTAGCAGTTTAATTTACACTTCTTTTGTTCACGATTCTTAAAAACTCAAGCTTCCAATTTTTTTCCTGATTTTGCGAAAAACTTCAATAATTCAATAAATATCCAATCCACTATTCAATACCGCATCAATTTTCCTGACAAGCAATTGGTAGGCAAATTGAAGACCAGGGAAAACAAAAAAAAGGACACATGTATAAAGCTTAAAGCCCTAGAAAATTTTTCACCAACACACATTGGTTTAAACTTTGAAGCTTTGGATGGTTGAAAACTTACCTCTTGTTCAACTTGAGAAGCTGGACTGATGAAATTGAGGAGCAAAGCCGATAGATCGATACGAATACCGGAGACGATCAATGCGATTCCACACATCTTTTCTCTCTCTAAACCCTGCGCATGGCGAAAAATGTTTCGTCGAAGGTTTTAACTTTACTCGGCTGAGATTCTCTTTCTGTACATACAGATATAATAATAAAATTATACCGTCTGCTCATCAACTGCCTCCGTAGCATAGTGGTAGTGCGTTCGCTTCGTAAGCGAAAGGTCGCGAGTTCGATCCTCGCCGGGGGCTTCGCCAGAAAATAATTAGATATGTTTTTTATATCTTTCTCTGTTGTAATTTCTATTTAGCCTGGACACTTAAGTAAAGTGATTAATGGCTGACTAAATTGTTAATGATCAATTCTTTTGATGGATTATTCAAATCCGTTATATTATATTTTATCAATTTTTATTTGAATATAATAATAAAAATGATAAGAGTATATATAGATGCATTAATTAAAGAATGACATTTAGTTAATATTAGGAGAAATTCAATTAAAATTCGATTTTAGTTAAGTTATTTGAATTGTATTAGATTATTAATTTTTCATAACTCCTTAAAACTTTCTAATACGAATTTCGGAATTAAATTTCTTCCACTCATATATGTTTTTTTCATATTGAAACACAACAAACTTGATCAAAATGTATGAAGTAGAATTTAAGCAATAACTCATTGTAGTTTATATTTTAAAGGAGTGACTATTTTTAATTTATTCATAAATTATTTAATATTAAATATTTTATTAACAAAAAAAATTAAGATAAATAACACATGAATCACTGAGGAAATTTCTTAATATTTTGTTTATTTACTAGTTTATTATCTGTGCTTGAAGGTACAGAATAATAAAAAATGATAACCAATAAACATATTTGTATTCATATCCAAAATTAAATAACAAATATAGAGAAAAAATAAATGAATTTAAGCATCAATTTGTAATAGGAGTGAGAGGGGGTGGACAACAGTGGCGATTGTAGGAGACGGTAGGTGGCGAGGGCGACAGCGATGGTGGTGGTGGCGACGAAGATTGTCGAGGTGGTGGCGGCGACAATGGTGGTGGTAGTGGCGACAACGACAACAGTGATGGTGGAGGTGGGGGTGGTGGCAGCAACAGCGACAGTAGAGGTGGCAGCGACATTGGCGATGGTGGTGGCAGTGGTGGAGCGGTTTCAAACACACCCTTAAAACCCCCTATTATTCTTATTAAATTTAATATATTAATATTAGTCGTTAGATTAATTTTAAAGTAAAATTTAAAGCAATCTCAACCACAAATAGTAAAAGTTATTATGTTTATCTTTTAAAATTTGAATTGTAAACTACTTTATTATATATATATATTAATTTATACTTTTTATAATTAACCGTCAAAAACAAATCAAAATAAATTTTATAAATAGAAACTTAAATTATAGTCCCTGTTAAAAAAAAAATTATAGTCTATAAAAAGATTTTACAGGTATCCACTGCACAAAAGGTAGGTATCTCATTGTGATTTTGCACACACATATATATATTGTTTAGTTTATTTTTATTTGAGTCATATAATTTAAGTTTATGTAGGAAAAATTTTAGTCACACCCTCTTCTAATTTATCATATCTTTAAGAAAACCCCTCTATTATTTAAAATATTACTGACACCTTTTATAATTTATATTTAAATATCATTGACACCTCTTGTTTTTAAACCACCATTTCTAACAAAATAAATCCTATCTAAAATATCAAAATTACCCTTATATAAAAATTAAATAAATTTTCTACATAAAATTATAACCAATTTAAAATTTATATTTCTGCATATTAAAATTCGAGTTGATTAATTTTTTTTTTATATATTAAAATTTGAGTCGATTAAAATACGATTCAAACTAATTAAATTTTATTTTTATGTATTAAAAATTGAGTCTAGTAAAATTAATTTTTTATGTGCTAAAATTTAAGCCGATTTGAGCTCTACCTGATTTGTTATTGCCAACTAAAATTCACTTCAAATCGATTAAATTTTATATATTTTTATTTATTAAATTCGTTTTAATTAAAATTCGATTTAAATTGATTAAAATTTGATTCGAGAATTTTAATCGACTCAAATTTTAATACGTATAAAAATATAATTTTTAATCAACTAAAAAATTAATACGTAAATATGAATTTTAATAAGCTCGAATCGAATTTTAATCGGCCCAAATTTTAATCCATAAAAAATTTTAAAAAATATAGTGAATCTCGTTCACAATTTACATATCTAGAGGGGATGTTAATGAATTTTTTTCTAAAATATGTTATAAGCAATTTAGTAAAATTGAATTCTCTTACTGTATTTGTCTTACATTATTATATAACTAGTTATTGACTGTGTCTGAAGATATAAAATAATAAAAAAATGATAAACAATAAACATCTTTGTATTCATATACAAAATCAAATCATAAACATAGAAAATATATAAAGATAATTAAAACATTGGTTTAGTGTAGAGGTGAAAGGTGGTGGTGAGGCACTGGTCATGGTAATGGATATGATGGGTGACAATGATCGTGGTGGTGATGGTGGAAGATGGCGAGGTGGCGGTGATGATACAACGACGACAATAGTGGTGGTGGTGACTGCGACAGCGATGGCGGCGACGACAACGGTGGTGGCGGAGGCTGTAATGGTGGTGGTGGTAGAAATAGTGACGGGGCGGTTTCAAATATTATTTGTTTTTAAAAATATTTATGAAAAATAATTTCTAAAAGTTTTTTTAAAAAATAACTCCAAACACACCCTTAGGGCTTTATTTGTCTTATTAAATTTAGGATATGAATATTAGCCGTTAGATTAACTTTAAAGTAAAATTTAAAGCAATCTGAACCGCAAACAATAAAAGTCATTTTGTTTATCTTTTGAAATTTGAATTGTAAATTACTTTATTATATAGATATAATTCCCTTAGTACAATTTTTTTTTTATTTTGGCCAGATTAATAGTAAATTAACTATCATTTATTCAAATAAGACTTACTGATTCAAAAGTGATTCCTCCGTCAATATATGATAGAGAATCTATATAAAAAAAAATAGATTAGCAAAGATTTAAACCCTCATTTGTATACGTTGTGAATAAAAAAAAGCACAATTTTGTTTGATCCGCGTTGTAACACAACCAAGTAAAAAATCCTATATAATTCTATAGCAATTTAAATATTATTACATCAATGAATTAAAAGCAAAAAATAAAATATTTCTCTTATAATATTAATTTAAATAAATTCATTATCCAAAATTAGATTATTTGTGTTGGATACCCAACCACTTCATTTATTTTTTGTGTCAAGTGGTTGGTTTAATTTTTAATTTGTATCCTATTGAGTTTGTATCATTTTCTCACAATTTTTTTTTGGATTTTCAATGAATAGAAAATCTGCGCTATGAAATAAATAAAAATACGAAAAATTAAATTTAAACTGCATATTAAAGCAAATAATTAGTTTTAATAATAATAATAATTATTATTATTTTGCTTGGGAGTTTTAATTTATTTGTAAGCGACTCATTCCCCTCATTAATTGCACAGCTAAGTGCTTGCTCGGCAAGCAAAAGATAATTAATAGAACAGCCAATTCCCACAATAGCAGACAATCCAATACCACGCCACATCAGATCATCTCATACACCACATCAATCCAACGGTCAAAAATAGAACACCGTCACTGACGTGATGCCATAACGGGTAAGTGGGTCCCACGTACTGAGTGGATCCCACAAAAATACGAAACTCGGAAGAATTCCCTCCAAACAAACTAGTCTAACGTCGAATACATGAAGGAATAGGAAACACAATCTCGTTTGATAGTGAGAATTGAGAGAGAGGCTTTTTAAGCGAGAATCTCTCTCTCTCTCTCTCAACCTACTCCTAGATTTCCTATAACTAGAGGACATTCTGTGTCGCGTGTTGTGTGAGTTTCCACACTTATTGTGTGTTCTCTCTCTTTCCGTGGTTCTAACCAGCAGAGGTACTCATACATCTATCTATAGATACCATTAATTTATGAGTTTTATGAATATTATTTTTTGTGAATTATAGTCGTTGTTTTGATTATTATTCTGTCTTTTGACTCTGTTCACACACAATAGTTGGTATTCATTATTCATAATATATATAGATACGTGGGGGGTGGTGATGGTTTTATATTTCTAAATAATTTTTATATTTGAAGACTGGGTTTTTATCTTCCTTGTTGGCTGATTTTTGGGTATAAATTTTTTTATTTTTTTTTTGGGAAAAAAAGTGATTAGAGAATTTATTGAAAGTGTTGCTGATTTGCTTCTTGTTATCTCAAGATTTTGAAGACTAGATTTTTATTGTAGATTGGCCGCTTGATGGGTATGCATTGTTCCTCCAATAAGATATTTTTGCTGCTTAGATGTCGTGGTTTTTTTTTTTTTGAGCTTTAATCAGCTAAAGACTGTATTTTTATATTCAGAATTATCTGATTGATAGTTGCACAGGTTTCCTTTAACAAACGAGGGTTTAAAGAATTGATTAGAGTATCACCGCTTTTGTGATTTGCTTCTTGTTATCTTAAAACATTAGATAGTCGAAGGCTGGAGTTTATATTGCTCTCTTTGGACATGGGGTTGTATTGGTGAAGCCAAGTTTTTTTGGGCCATTTACTGTTTTTAATTTTTGAATATTGGCATTCTTTTTCTAGTTCATCTATAGTTTTCCTTTTCAGTCTCTCTTTTTGCTTGTAGCTTTAGTTTATTACCAAGTTTGTCTTTTTTCTTTTTTAACAAAAAATACATAGAGCTTTTGTGGAACCTCTTGACATGTGCATAGGCGATTGAGATCTATTGAGCCTGTTTAATTTGTTTTATTCTCTTTATATTCAAATTGGATGCTGTTGTTGATTTCTACAATGCATTCGTTAATGTTGGAAAACCATCCAATTTGATTGTTTCCCTTTTTTATTAACATGCGAGTTTCTTTTCCTACTGCTATACCCAAAGCAATATAGCCATGATACCAGTTATTTCGGCCTGTACACATATCCTTCCTTCAGTCTTGGCAATCTTGTTTTTGACGGGTGGCACTATAGGTTCTCATGATTAGCTGCAACTTTTTTGGCCTATTTTATAATGGATTTATTCCTTATTTTTAATCTCTTATTGTTTTTGTGTAGCACACAATAGTTTTAGCCTTTTTTTGTAATATTGTTAATGCTCCTTTTGGTTGTCTAGTTGTTTTTCTTGTCTAAACTTTTTAATTGAATCAATTTTTATGGAATTCTTTGTTTTATATCACTGTTATATGTTTCAATAAGAAGTATAAGCAACAAAGAACTATCAATTATGAGTGTAGGCTCTTACAAACATAAGTTGGTGTCATGTTTTTGCAGAGATGGCAACTCAGGCACCAAGTGATTCCTTTTATGTTTCTGCCCAAGATGTAGGAAATGTCTTTGTGGACAAGTATTACCACCTTCTTCATAGGTCTCCTGAGCTTGTCCACAAGTTTTATGACAATAAAAGTTTGTTAAGCCGACCAGGACCTAACAGTGAAATGACTTCAGTGACAACAATTCAAGTAAGTTTCTTGCAACAAAGGTGATATTATGTATACATCATGGTATCCCCTGTACAATAGACAGGGCAATCCCAGTACTTATCCTCTAAAGATAGTGTACAAAGTCAACTTATATGTTTCATTGCTACTTATGCTTTTGCTTTCCAGTAGTTTGATAATTATTTTTCTATGAAGTTTGAGTAATATCCTTGCAAATATTATGCATCATGGACCATAAGTTGGTGTGGATTTGATGTGATATCATGGCCTGCATTTCTTCTAACCAAAGAAGGTAGTGTAACTGATGTAGATCGAATTAGGGATGAGAAAGGAAGAAGAACGGGATGAGAAAAGAAGAAGAACGGGATGAGAATAGAGAGAGAATTTTAAGAAGAATATTCAATATCAATAATCAATAATCAAAGTTTAGTCCCTCAACAAATATGTATCCTCTATATATATATAAGGAATTCACAAATCCTATATATATAAGGAGATCACAAATCCTAAAATAAATAAATAATCAAAATGACAACTAAACCCTTAAAAGTTAAAAGAAATTACTTAAAAGCTAAATATTAAAAGTATCTAAATAACTATCATAATTAATCTATAATATCTATCCAATTCCTACACTATCCCCATCATTCTCCTCCGGTTGAAAAAAACTCTCCTCCGCAGAGTCTTCATAGTAGAAGTACCCCAAGAGAGTAGGATGAAGATGACATAATGCCTCATCTAGAATGAAAGAACCATCGACTTTTTTCCATCGACCAGGATAAAAGCAAGAATCTCCATCTGTATAAACACCTGCGAATAAAATAGGAGGCTCTGGAGTACCTCGATTAAGCAGCATGTCCTCCCAATAAAAATCTGGACTAATACTAACATTCAATGAAAAATTAAGCAAATAAGTATTAGATTCAAACTCAAGAATAGCAAAACAATTCCTATTAGATTTGAACAATAGGCATTCAATGAGACATCAGTGACAAAGGAGTAACTATAACACCCTGGTGCTGAAAATAAGAAAGTACAGACTCAATTGAACACTTGACAGTAGGCAAAGAATCAAAGTTAACACTCTCAAGTGAGGCAGAATCCAGAACAATGTCAACAATCTCAGATTAGGAAGAATCTGTAACAAAGTCATGATGACTTGGACAAGTAGACATAGAATAGTCACTATTAGATTCTGTAATAAATGACTCGATTGGTTTAATATCTTGCATAGGTGTAGACTCAACAGGCTTTTCCACAATTTTCAAGATCAATGATGGTTCAGGAATTGACACAAACAATGACTCAACACACTTTCTTTTGAAATGGACTCTTGTGGGTACAAAGGAGGAAGACTCTGATATGACAAAACTAAATGAGGGAGTTGGAAGTCCATATGAGTAATATTTTTCTCTTTATCTGACACTAAACTATCTAAATCCTTTGCCACATTCGAATTACGAAAGCATGCAGAAACAACATGGACATCGTTTAAGTAATCATGATACTCATATGTGATGGAATTAAAATTGGAAGATGTCCTATTAGCAGGCTGTGATTGAGAACTCATCAAGGTATAGTTGGATTTCTTATGAAATCTTTCAACCTTTAGAGTATATTGATAGGCTGCAACTAACGTATTAAAAGTGTATTGTTTAACCTCTACTAATTTTTTGTCTCAACCCAAAAATAAACTAATCAATTGTCCAAGGTTCTTCAACGATGTCACACAAGTACATGAGATAATCAAACTGGGCAAAGTAATCAGAGACACTAGAAGAATGTTGTCTAAGATTGAGTCATTGGTCATAAACTTGATCCATATAGGAAGTAGGCAAATACTTCTCTTTCAATTTGTATCTCATTTCAACCCAAGTGATAGGTGATTCTCCTAAGGGGTCTAGGCTTCTTTGGATTGTTTGCCAATACTTCTTGGCGGAACCCTCCAACATCAATTTAGCAAAACGGACGCAATGGGAATCCGACATGCCATGCCAATCAAAATATTCTTCTAAATTAGCTAACCAATCCAAGAATTGATTGGAATCCGGAGTACCACAAAATATAGAAAGATCTTTGATTCGTTTGGTCATATGGGTTGACTCTATGTAAACATTCTTTGACTTCCTATGATGATGACATTGAGGAGAGATTCTTGAAACATGCGTATTAGAGAAACTCATGAGTGACTCTTGGAACAAGGGAATGACGTCAAAACAAGTTCAAGAATGTAATTGACAAATAATTTGGATCCTTTGTAAATTTTTTTAATTTTTCAATGAGTAAAAATATCAGTTTTAAATTTTTATAAGAGTATGCATACCATAATCAAGAGGAAATTCTAAAATTTTTTGGGAATGATTCTACAACTTCTGAAACTTCTAGTGGTGATTCTGTAATTTTTGAAAGTTTCTAGTAGTGGTTCTGTAATTTTTGGAATTTTTTGGGGTGTTTCTGTATTTTCTGAAGACCTCTTGGGATGTGTCTGTAATTTTTGGAACTTATGGAGATGTTTCTGTAATTTGCTGAATTTGCTGGGAACTTTGGTTCAAAAATTAACCCACCAGGCTACTGTTACTGCGACGAAATATGATAAAAAAATTTTGTTTCGTCCTTTTTTTTTTTTTTACCGATGAACAGCGTTTTTGGATGAACAGTACACGGATGAACAGTGCACCCATGAACAGTAACTTCGTTTTTTTAAATTTTTTTTTTTTTTTTTCGATTCGAAGTTGGGCTTTGATACCAAATTGATGTAGATCGTATTACGGAAGAATTAAGGATGAGAAGGGAAGAAGAAAGGGATGAGAAAAGAAGAAAAAGGGGATGAGAATAGAGAGAAAATTTTAAGAAGAATATTCAACATCAATAATCAATAATCAATAATCAAAGTCTAGTCCCTCAACAAATATGTATCCCCTATATATAAGGAGACACAAATCCTAAAATAAATAAATAATCAAAATAACAACTAAACCCTTAAAAGTTAAAAAAAATTACTTAAAACAGTGTTTTGAAAAGCTCGCCTAGGCGAGAAGGGAGGCGAGGCAAGCTTATCTCGACTAGAGGACCCCAGGCGAAGCGAACATGAGCGAAGTAAGAAAAAGCGAAAAATTGAAGAAGCGAAAAAAGCGAACACTTTATTATAAGAGGCCATTCTGCTCCCCTTTTTTATTTTTTTTATTTATTTTTTTTTTTTCTGATCACAGGTTAGTAGTCTCTTTTATTTTTTAATCATTGATGACTTTTTTTTCAGACTATCGCTGGTCTATTTTTTTTATTTTTATTTTTATTTTTTTTTCTGATAAGCAATGTTTCGAACAAAACACATTCCTTTTTTTTCTTTGTGTTGCTGAATTCATTTAGAATATTTATGGGATGTGGGAGTCAGGCGACTGCATAGCAAAATTATGATAAAAAAAGGAAGCAAGAGTATGAGGAATGGGGGTAAATAATAGAGTCTTCTACAAAGAAGTGTCTCTGATATGTCTTGGTTATACTTTTCCCTTTTCTTATATATATACAAATGGTACCAAAAAGTAGTCTATGCTTATACCATATTTAATTATTTTAGTACATGTGAAATGTGCCTCTGTTCTGCTTTTTTTATTCAGTACATAATTACATATGAAATTGTTTACAATTGATTCTGCTCCTGTCATGATCATTGTGCTTCTGTTTTTTTTTTTAGCTCATTCTGCTTCTATTTTTTTTTGTTGATTCTGTTGCTGCTTCGGTTTTGCTGTCCTGTGCTGCTTTGGTTTTTTTTTATCCTCATTCTGCTTCTTTTTTTTTTGTTGCTGATTCTGCTGCTGTCCTGATTCTGCTTCTTTTGTTGTCCTACCCTGTTAATATGAAAATGTATACAATTGTTAATATTTGTTTGAATTTAAATATTTAAGTTATGACTATTATTAAGATTTGAGATATTATTAGTGTTTGTTTTAATTTAAATGTTTATGGTTTTACTTGAATTTAAATATTTAATATATATAAAATTAGAACTTAAATTGTTTAAAAGTAATTAAACTAAAATATATATTTTTTTGAACTGTTCGCTTTGTTTCGGTAAAGCGTGTCGCTTCGCTTCTCGCCTAGGCGTTAGGAGCCTTGGTCGCTTCGGTTCGCTTTACACCTTAAATAACACTGACTTAAAAGTTAAATATTAAAAATATCTAAATAACTATCATAATTAATCTATAATATCTATCCAATTCCTACACGATCCCCGTCAGTAACGCTTGCTTTCCTCACTTTCTAGAGCTGAATCAGTTAGTTGGTGCTTGATGGACACGAACTTAGTAGTCTGGAGAGTTCCATTATACTTTGTTAGGAGAACTAGGGAACTCAATATTTCACTAATTGTCAAATTTGGTTGTTTTCCTTTGTTGTTTGGTATCAAGATTGTCTGCCTGCTGATATTTTAGCAAAATGAATAATGGCCCCATTAGTACCATTAAGCAATCCACAATTTTTGTGAGCAGGACCGGTGTTCAAAGTCTTCGTCACCTTTTTTATTGAAAATCTTTGGGTTAGCCACTCAATTAGGTTGCCTTTTGTAGTGTAGTGACTGTAGTTAACATATTAAAACTTGAAGTTTCAATTTTTCATTTGTTTTATATTAGGACTGATAAGTAATCATGGGGATCGTTCAGACATAGACTAGATCTATCATTTATTTGTAACCATGTGGTTTTACCAATGCAAACCATCTGAACAAAAAATTCATTGTTGTGATCATGTTGTTATCCTTATATAATTGCAAAGAGATATCTATGTTGCTCTTTCATCTTTATTATTCATCTTACCTGTGATTTTGGGAGTGTTTACCTCTTCGTTGATTCCTAGTATTGGCTATGTTTAACTCCGGTCTTTTTCTATTGCTTTCTGGTTGACCCATTAAGCTGTTGTTTTTACATTGAGCAATCTGTATGAGTTCTGTCATTTGTAAGTATGCATTCTCTGCCATCTTACAGCAACTATCCTGCTTATATGTGTTGGTGAGGCTTCGCTCCCTTAGCCTGCCATTTGTTATTTCTTGTTTTCTAAATCTTTTATGGGGGTTCAACGTTAGCATCATGGATTCTAGGTGGTTAGTTCTACTTTTTTTGAAATAACATTTGATATCCTACCTTCAATGAACATGACACACTAATTTGTTTTGTCTTCTGCCTGACAAAACTTATTTTACCCTCATTTCATTGCACAGCTTGAAAGTTATCTCAATAAACATTGTAGATCCTTTTTTTTTTCTGGTATCAGTTATAAGCTTTTGCATAAAAAACTTGCGGCTTTATTCCGATTAAGGAAGTTTATACTTTGCTGCTTGTATGACACTTTCACCTGGCCTAACTATCATCTTTACTTATTTTGCATCAGGGCATTAATGAAAAGGTCATGTCCTTTGATTACAAGGACTCTACGACGGAGATTATATCTGTAGATGCCCAAGAGTCTCTAATGGAGGGGGTGATTGTTGCAGTAACCGGTTGCTGGACTCGGAAGGATAATGCGAGAAGGCAATTCACTCAGATGTTCTTTCTGGCCAAACAGGACAAAGGTTACTATGTCTTGAATGATGTTTTTCGGTTTGTGGATGTACACAAGCAGTCATTACCTTTGGCAGTTCTTGACATTGATAAAAATGTTCCAACTGCTTCTTTGACCAAAGATCCTGGTAAGCTTTGCTGGTATTTGCATGTGCCAGCTCTTGTATGGAATTTTCTTTTCTTCCTTTTGGTGGCTGAAGGGTGAATATTTTATGGTTGTTAAATTTTTTTTTCAGAGACAATCTAATGTTTTATATTTGTTTCCAGAGCCTGGTCTTGTTCCCAACCACACATCTACACCCATCAAAATTGTTAGCGATAATGTTGATAAGGTTTCTGATCCATCAGACGTTCAGGATTCAGGTGTTGAAAAAGGGTCTGCTCCCAAAAATTCAGTTAATTCAAGTGAGAATGACGTGCTCCCTGTTGCCCTATCTGGTTCAAATAACCACAAGGATGCCCCCCCGAAATTGTCTTATGCATCGATGGTGAGTTTATTTGTTAAACTATATTGAAGGTGTTGAAAATTATTGAATGTTACTGAATGTTTTAAACTGGTATAGGTGGCTAAAAAGAGCATAGCAAGTTCTCCGTTACATGCACCTGCTTGTGTCATTGTACGAGTTGCACCTAGTTCTGATCAACAGCCTCCTGCCTCTGCAGCACCCAAAGCACGCGCTGCCTCTGTAGCACCCAAAGCACGCGCTGCTTCTGCAGCACCCAAAGCATCAGATCCTCACGGCTCAGGTGCACCGCAGAGTAGTCGTGCTCACACAGAAGGTATATAAATAGAGTATTGATTGATGCTGGAATTCTAGATAACAATATACTCACGGTTTCCCATGTCTACACCCTGCTTGTCTCAGTTAAAAGCATATATGTTGGGAATTTGCCCGAGGACATAACAAAAAATCAGCTCATTGGTATCTTCAAAAAGTTTGGAACAATTAAAGAGGATGGTGTCCAACTCAGAAATCCTGAAGAGGTATGTTTCATAGCTGAATTTGTCCATTCTACTTCAAAGTAATTATTATTGACACTATCAACATGTCTAACTAAAAATTACTTTGTCCAGGATGGATTCCGTTTTGCATTTGTGGAATTTGTATCCTCCAATTCAGCACGTATGGCAGTTGAGGTATCTAAATCAAAATTTCTATTCGACAGTTTCCACTGCTTGAAAGATATTCTTTTATTTCAGTAAAAGAAGATGATCATGGCTTTTGGTGCCATCTGAGTTTCCTGATGGGATTTGTTTAATTGGTTGCTCGTTCCTGTCAGAACATGTTTGAACAAGCCAAATTCCGTATGTTTTTTACATACCAGGGAAAAAAATCTCCTCCATCTGAACTCTAGCAATTGATGCCATTTTTTGCTCTGTAATACTGTCTTATTGGAGTTTCATGTCTACAGATTTATTATATGGTTCTTGATACTTGCTATTCCATTATCAGGGTATGGACGATAGAATTCATGCGTGCCAAAAGCTTTTAGAAGCTGTGCCATGCCTAAAATATTGTAGCCCCTTAATGCCATTAATCAATTATTGGAACAGATGTTCTTTATCTGCTTTGTGCTTCCAAATGTGTAATGATATGATGCTGCCCGAGTTCATAGTGGTGTTGTCAAAACCTTGATGTGGTCTTTTCTTCGTCCTGGTTTCCTAGTTGAACTATTAATAGGGTTGGAGCAAGGCCCAAGAGTACAGACAACTTGTTTATCTTTTCCTATTGTCTGTGATGACTTGTATCTGTTCACCGAGAAGAATGGGATCATTGTTGGATTCTTTTGCCTGTGTTGAAGAATTCATATTGTTGAGTTATTGGAAGTGATCATTATTAGTTGCCTTGGCTCTTGAGCAATATTGGAAAAATCTGCACTGTTAATATTTGTGTATAGGCTGTTTCCTAGTTTGTACATGCAAATGTTGGAATTTTTTTTTGTTGCTTCTGATTATTATTATGTATTATTTCAGGTTCGTAAGATCGCATTCGGGGAAAAAGAGGCTTTTATAGATTATAAGAGAACCTATGCTCAAGGCAAGTGAAGCTGTATTTAAACTTTTCATTGCTAAAGTTGCCAAGGTATCCGGCGTGCCACTTTTGTCTCATAAATAGACACTTTAATCTCAATCAATCATTCCTCCGCCAATTTTAACCGACTTCATTATATGGTCAAGTATCTAGGTGAAGGGACTAATTTCCTTCACCTTTGATCTCATAATGGTTCAAAAAGAAAGCGTTTGAAGGGGGAGAAATAATGCTCTTGTGAAGGTACTAGAATATTACATTGTTTAAAAATTGAAACTGACTCTTATTTGTTCTTGCAGTTCGCAATAATAGAGGGAGGTTTGCATCTGGAAGAGATGGGTTTCGTAATGACAGTTTTAGGGGCCGGAAAAACTTTGGTGAATCTCCTAGCAATGGGAGACATGAGCATGGGAGCCGGAGTAATTTTTCAGAGAAAGCTCGGGGCACCTTTGAACGCAATGGAGAAGCTCATCAAAGGGTCTATCAGAATGGGGATGGAAGACTACCCCGTCAAGGAGAGCCAAGAAGTAGAATACTACATGATTGAATATTGTTGGAAGTTACCTCATCTTACACAGAATAGAGGGTCTTTTGGTAGTCAGTTTATGCGGGTATATTATTTTTCAAGTGTCTACATTGAGAGAGAATTGTTTTTATTTTTTCATTAGCATTGAATGGGAGAAGTACTTGGGCATTTGTAAAATTGCAAAATATTTCTCTATTTTAATATACCTGGAAATGCCTTTTTTTAAATTTATAGTTGATTTTTTATTCCTTTGCCTCCCCCCACTCCCTTCTTTCCTGGGGCTTCTCTTTTTTCTTCTCATACATGAATGCATGTTTTCACTCTAGATTAAATGCAGAGAAATCAAAAACAGGGATACGATATTCTATACTCAGCTTTTGGTTGATAAGATAACATCACTCGACGCATTTGCAGTTGTGATATATACAGTCCTTGGCACATTAGTGAAATTGCTGCGTTGAGATCTGGTGCGATGGGGTTGTGTCATGAAAGTGTCTTTTTCACACATGGGTGGGAGGCTTGGACTTGTGGAACTTCCCAGATTGCACACTACTCGTGCACTGAGTTGGCTTTTTTTGTTTATGTTTCTTTCATTAGCATTTTTTCCATTTCCATTGCAGATTTGATGTAGATAATGGACTGGGGGAAAAAATAAGGAGCATGGTTAAGATTATCAACAGCTGGAGAAGTGATCATACAAGGTGGAAAATTTTATTTCTCTTGAAGTGCTCTCAGTTGAGTGAGCCAGGCCAATGAAACAATATATTGAAGCCATTTCCATGCGAAGAAAACAAAGGATCCAAAGTCCAATTATCAGAAGTCAATTGAAGCAGCAACACATCTTAACTGTAAACATCACTCTTGTCGGACATACGATAGTTCAGAGCATACTCTGGTGCTACAAACCCTAAAGCTCCTCTGGCTCTTTCCTGGATAGATTTTTCCAAGTGACCTCCTGGCATAAAATTATAAATGCAAAACATCTGCTTCACTGGCTTTGTAAACTCTCAGAGATACAAGGTTTGGCCGCTTCAGGTCTCTTATCCTTCCAAGAATGCTAATCTCAGCATCAAACTGTGGAAGACCTCGGCAGATTTTAATGGTAAGCCTCTTTACAGCCACTATGGTTCATGGAGAGACTTCAGCCCTGGAAGTTGCACCAAAACTCCGCCACTATCAATGCAGTTGCTTGCAGTGCAATTCCATGTTGCCTGGATGACGATGTCAAATGTCAATACACCCCTATGTCATTGCTAATCCTTCTATCGGAAGACTCGGATACCTGCGCCATAGAAATTGGTATCTATTCTCTTGTGTAAAATAGGAGGGTGGCAAGAGCCAAGACAACAGCAATAAGGGCTTATGCATATACTATGAATGCAGCCTCAATAGAACTCACCCCATTATTTCCACTTTTGGATTGCTACCTTCCCCATCTGCCGGGCTCGGGTTATCAAGGAAGCTGCCACAATTCATCACCATATTTTCCAACAGCAAAGGTCTAAACAAATTATTAAAAAATAGACATTGCATGTGGTGAGTGGTGCCATATTTGCCAAAGCAAAGGTGATCTTGCCTGACAATGAACTATTATTGAACAAAAGAACAGTTACGTTTCTCCAGTGCACAGGGATTTGAGATTAAAGAGCTGGGATACAAAAAATCATTGATTGTACAATGGACAAGTAACACATGAGGAAAGAAAAAGTATTTATACCGTAACTGTAGCTTTATTTTCCTGTACCATAGAGAAAAAAAGAAACTACTACAAGTATCTGTGTTTCAACACTAGTAAAGATGGCCAACTTAGAATAACTTTGCAAGGGCTGAGTACATCTGACTCCTCCAGACCCTGCTATGGCAAGAGCCTTGTGGAGTGGGCCGCCATTTTAGGCCGAGGCAGAAGAAGCATGCCACAAGCTTTGGAGCACTCAATTTCTCAAGAACAATAAGAACAAGAGCAGGAGCACCAAGAACACAAAAAACAAGAAGAGCAAGAACACCACATGTTGTAAGCTGCTTTTGGAATCTTCCTGGAAGTTGAGGGTTGTGAAGGCTGCTGCTCAGGTAACCCTTTCCTGGAGCCACTCATTCCCCCATGTGTCAAACTGAAATAAACCAAAACTTATGAAATCACTGTATAAAGCAGGAATGACACTCGAACACAGATTCTATGCATAAAACATGCTTTGAAATCTTAACTAGAGGCCAGTACAGAGGCTAACAGGAAAACACCAAATCTAATGAATATAAAATGACAATAAAAGAGTGTGAGAAACAAAACAAGGACTGAATTTTCAATTTGCTTGAAACATGAAAAAACTATATAGGGAGAGAGGGAGAAGCATACATGTCAAAAGAAGAATAGCAACAGAAAATGTTTCGTTTACAGTTCCAATTGTAGCAGAACGCCCAGCTACGATGTGGACAGTGGCACTTTACAGCTTGACCACTTGCAGCACCAGTTTGGCAAGCTTGGCCACTTGCAGCACCAGTTTGGCAAGCCTGGCTGCTTGCAGCAGCAGCTTGGCAAACTTGGCAACTTGCAGCAGCAGCTTGGCCCCGAACAGTAGCAGAAAGCCCAGCTACAATTAGAACAGTGGCACAATGGCCATGCACACTTCGTCTTTCTGCAACACACAAAGGATATATTCCTCATCCACATTGTTGTAGTTTATATAACAATGCATACATGTATATTATGCATGTACAAGATAAGCCAGAGCCAATTTACATGCACCTACAGATACACAGATACATACACTTTCTTTTGTGGTAACTCCTGCAGACAAGAAAGTCTGCAAAGGTATATACATGCAAGCAACGGTGCATATGCAATAGACATGCAAGCAACAGTGCATATGCAATAGACATGCAAGCAACAGTGCATATGCAATAGACATGCAAAGAATAAATGTCAAAAACTTCCAAGTATGTGAAGATGCAAATAATTCATGTCTACCCATGTTAACATACATATTGCAAGCACATGTAATAAAGACATGCAAAATATAAGTGGATAGCTAATGAATCATTTATTCAACTAAATTTTTTAATTAAATATTTTTCCCTCTAACTCTTCATTGTTCAAATCTAGGAATAAAACTCACTTAGGAAATGCAAAAGATTTGCAACTGGTTCCACTCCCATCAGAGAGGTGATTGACTTTAGAGGAATTCAACCCTTCAAGTGGAGGTAGCTTTTCCTCGTCTTGATCATCAATATTTCCCTTAGGAACATCCTTCATCGATTCATCTGTTACTTTTGTTTCTTCAGAGTTCTTCATATCAACCACAAACTTCCCGCCATCTAAGCTTTTGTTGTCAATATCCAATCCTTTGGCAGTTGGAGAGGGTTTCCTGAACCTGATCAGCTCACCAGACAAGTTCAATTCTCCAGATTTATACGGTTCTCCCGATTTGTACAATTCTCCAGACTTATACACGTCTCCACCCAACATAAAAATGTGATCCCTGGAGAAACTATTGTTCCCAATGTGAATGCTGAACAATGACTCGTTAGAAGCTACACTCCATTCCATTGGTGTGGAAGGTTTACTAGCAAACACGGAAGCCGGAATTCGATTAGGATCAAAATCTCCAGGCCTCTCCATCAATTGGATAAGAGGATATTTTGTAGGTGACTTGCTTTGTGGAAAAGATTCATGGGTGATATCGGAAACTTGTGAGGAGGTAGCACCTTGTGACTCATTATCAGGTTCTTCTGATTTAGAAGAGGCACCACAAGAAACATCGTTTTTGTCACGTCTAACAATTGGATGATAATCTTCACGAGGTTTATGGGAGGAAGTAGGGGGTGCACTAAACTTAAATATGATTTCTGGATCCATTTGGAAAACATCTTCCAACGAAGAGTCTGCTGAGGATGAAGAAGCAGGGGAGGTAGACTTCGGCTTTTTGGCTGGGCCAAGTGTGCCTTCAGTTACGGTAGCCTCCTGATCTATTCTTATTTCACTCTCATGTTCAGATTCTGCGGGTGAGATTGGTGAACCAAATGTATCACCTTCCTTCAGTGTACCTGCTTCATCTCTCCTGGAATGCTTACTGCTTCCACTTCCATGTTCAGAGTCCATTATTTAAATTATGCTGAAGATCACAGTTAAAATGTTATAAGTACTATATGTAAGTATAAATGTATATTTATTTATGTATGCATTTTTTGTATATAAAAAAGGTCATACCAAGGGTCGCTAAAATACACGTGGAGATTACATTCAAGTCCATCACAACTAAAGATTTCGAATTGTACATCAGGCTATAAGATGTTTAAAAATTTCTACTAAACTGTACAATCTATCATTTGCCAAGTTAAACTCCTTAAGGTTTCTTCATTGACGCTTGGTTTTGCATTTTACGGACACCCATGTCACAATAGTTTCTCTTGGACAAACTTCTACTCCAGATTTCTAAATATAATTTCCCATTAACTCCATTCCATACGATCTACTAGTACAATAAATTCAGATTATTATACCTTTCTGAAACTAATACCCGCAACGTGATTTCTTTACCCCATTTTGATATTACTTTCCACTTTTTCTCCTCTTTTTCTGTACCCTATTGTTGATTTTCAGTAACTGACCAATGCTTCCCTTTTTTTTTAGTCATGTGTGGAGAGAAATGTGCAAAATCATACTAGTACCAAACAACGAAATCAAAGACGAATGACCTAAAACAGGAAAATCTTAGTTCTCAAAAACCTCACCTAATCCATCAAAAGCCTTTTTTTTAATTTCGTTGATCACCAACAAATCAAGCCGCCTCGAAAATAAATCGCCGGGAGGGGCACCGGCCATCAGCAACTACTCTTTCACCCACCTCACAATCTACAAAAGATTGCAATAACAAAGTAACATAATGAATACCCAAAAAAAAATAATATTCTTATTGAATGTATCAGATTAAGAAATCTAAAAAATCACATTATTGGAAGTAACAATTAATGTAAAATGAGAATTACCTCAAGAAAAAACCGTTCATCAACTATAAATTTGCCAGAGAATCAATTTATTTCTGTTCTTTTTCTTGAATTTTGTTCTTTTTTTTTTTTTGTTTGGGAATGGTGAAAATTGAATGAACTAGGGAAAGATATTGGAGGGTTGAAAAAAAAAAAGGGGGGGGGGGGGGGGGGGGGGGGGGGAATCAATTAGGGTTTTGGGGGAAGTGAAAATCTGTGTAGATCCTCTTCTGATAAAGATGGAAGGCTTAGCGACGTTTTCGGGTTTTTTTTTTTCAGATTCCAAATGTAACTAACTTGGAGCACTCTTTCGCGCGTGTCTTCAACTACTTACTCACGTCCTCTGCACGTGCTTAAGACCTGTTTCGATGCTGACACGGTATACCTATTTAAGAAAAAAATAATCAAGACGATAAAATGGGACTCACTTCTTATAATGCAAGCGGTTATGAGTTCTAATGAACCCATTTTCGGATTTGTTTATTTATTAATTGGACAGTTATACCACATGATACTGATGACGTGGAATAATTATTACACTCAATATTTTTTTCCTATGTAGGCATGCTAAAGGATTGAGTTTGGAGCGGATTTTGTTCTGACTGATCTGGATCTAATTTTGAAACTCGGATATGTTAATCTAACGATTTTTTATTTTTCTTGGTCCATATCAGAAGAACAATGCTTGGGACATAATACATTATGACCAATGAAATGATAGTGAAATACATTTAATGTTGATGTCCCTCAATTATTTCTTAATAGCATTAGTGATATTAGAATTCGTTAACAATTCAAAATACAATTTGATCCGAATAACTTTATTTAATTAAAATTTAATAAATTACATCTAAATTTTAACTCAATTTTTTAAAATAATCACTTAATTTTTTAATATTATTTATACAAAAATATATAAATATTTTTGACCAGATCATAATCAAATCAGATATAAGTATATACAAAATCCAACTTCATGAAATATATTATATCAGATTTGATTGATCAAATCGGATTCAAATAATCGGTAAAAAAATATCAATCCATATTCGATTAATCACGGGTCAAAATTTGATCCACTAACATGCACAGTCCCATCTTGTTAAGTGGACATCTTCTTTGTTATAATTTCACCCCAATGCATATATGATATTTTTACCTCTATGAGATTATTTAAAAAAAAACTATACATGAAGAAATCTCTCATCTTCTGGGCATGATCATAAGGGCCACTATAGTAAAATATTATGTTTGAACCATAACTACTAACCGAGAAGAGCAACCCGTCAACACAATATTATCAAAACTAAATAACAATCTGCCTGACTCCCCTAGATCGATCATGTTTGAAAGATGCCAAGGAGGCATGAAGGTATAAAATAAAATGTTGAAAAAATAAAAGTAATAACCGGTGAAATTCTCAAAGTAACAACTGGTGAAGTTCTCTGAAAATCTTTTAAACAATTTGGGTGGTAGTTCATAACCAGCAAGTAGCAACCCCACCCCCACCAACACCACCCGCCGTCTGCCCCTATGTAGCTTGATCATCCCGAATCTTGGCCAACCTACTGGAAAAATCTACTTGATATTTTCTAAATAACATTTCAACAACACAGAGACAATAAAACCATAGACTAAAATTAGGAACTGCATGCTTTTATTCAGGAAAACATAACCATTAAAGACATAACTAAATGTTTTTTCATTATTTCTACAATTTTTGGGCTGAGGATGGGGGATGAGTGATGATGCAATAAGATGGTAAATGTCATTACATTGAACATTTTCAGAAACAGAAATTTTCCTTCATATTCATCTCAAGATGCCAGGGTCATACTTGGGCAGCTATCCACGGTGCAGGCCAAGATATCTCTATAATCCCGTGAAATTCTGAATGAGTCGTAAACTTTCCCATCCCTGCTTCTCTTGTACTCAAACAACAGGTTTGAATAATCAAATGCAGTTAGTTTTACAAATCCATAATCATTATCCCTGAAAATACTCCAGTTTGGTTTTGTGGAAAAACCCGAAAGGCCTGCTCCTGCACCCCCAGCAACCACTTGTATTGTACCATTCAACGTGCCCTTATAATAGGAAGTCTCTTTATTCGTGCAAATATTCTGCAGCAAGACGAAGGATGATATTAAAATTGTTAATAACTTTATCTAAACCCAAGTTGCTGGAAGTAGCTAGTCAATGCATATGTATCAGCCTACAAGTTTATTGCTTGTTGAAGATGGGACCCAAGAAAGATGAGTGCTGCATGAATTTCTAGCTCTGAGTTCTCTACCTTTTTGAGACATATATGGGAACAATCTACGTCTCTTTTATCTGTTAGCTTCCTATTTTGTTTCTTATCATTGTTAAAACAAAGCAAGAGAATTACGTTGGAGAATTGCACTTTTATTTATCGCCAATGATAATAAACTCAGATTTCATTAATTGGCTTGTAACACGAATAAAGATGGATCATTAAAGGTGGTAGAAACTTCTCTTCAAAGCAATTTTAACAAAATTCGGCAACCTAAGAAAGGATGAGGAGTACATTACTCCACGAAAAGATAAGAATACCTGGTAAATTGGACATGTTCTTTCATAACTGTGCACATGGCCGTACATGGCTATATCAACCTTGTACTTCTGCCAGAGTTTTTGAAGGTCCTCCCTCCCCATTGGTTCTGCAAATGATCCTTGTTCAGCATAGTAAGGGGAGGAAGAATAACCCAGTACCCGATGTGCAAGGAAGATCAGCCATGGTTGCTTCTGTCTATCCACGGATGCTAGGCAGTGTTCAATGAACTTATATTGCTCCGTTCCCTCTCTCCAATCATGTTCTGTATCAGCTATGCAGAAGTGGAACATGCCATAATCAGATGAGTACCTGGCAGAAGAAGATAAAAGTAAAAAAAGCAGTCCCAAATCGTCTTGAAGCAAGTGAAATAGAGAAGGCAAATTGATCTGGATAATAACCCCCCTCCCCCCACCCCGGGAGTTTTTTTTCCTTGTAAGTCTTTTTATTTGTTGGTGAAAACTAATATTTATGCAGGATGATGTTAATAACTAATATTTCAAGGTCAAAAAGCAAGTAATCTTATGGAGATAACACACTAATTGAAGCAATTTCAATAATTTGGTCAATGATGTTAAAAAAGATGAAGAGTTCTCGAAGAAAGAAAAAGAAGAAGAAGAAGAAGAGGGTGTTGTCATTCATGAATAAGATATTGAAATTAGTTTCTCATATACCAATGATTCTCGCCTGATTAATAAACAATTGATTTTTACACAATTCTATAAGATCATATTTATTGATGAAAAATTGAGTATATTTAAGTTGCAGATTTTGTGGGTGGGCCTTGGCGCAACCGTAAGGTTGCTTCATTGTGACTTGTGTGCATCAAGGTTTTGAGTCACGGAACAACCTCTCCACATGCGGGATAAAGCCGCTCCCAACACATAGTGGCGGGAGTCTCATGCCCTGAGCCACACTATTTATGTTGCAGATTTTCAAAGAACAATGTCGAAAAGCACAAAGGAAAAAGGTTCAAATTACAATGATTTGAACCAAAATATGATGTAACAATTCCATACACACACATATATATATGCATTAACGTGCAAGAGTTATCAAAGTACAATGTTCTCATACCAGAACTTAGCTCTGTTCTCTGCAGGTGTATAAAACATAGTTTCAGCCAACACACCACATTCTCCTCCAGAATCCATGGTCCCATAGAATGATCCTGTTCCGGGCCAATCACGCTCATGGTTACCACTGCAAGGATAAGTCCTCAGTTGCCACACAAGATATAGCAGAAGTTTAGTACAAAATTGAACAAGTTTTGCAAATGCGTGCTACATGCCTTGCAATCATGTAAGGTACTGCTGAGGCAATCGGCTCAACCTGAGAAGTAAATTGGTCCCACTGTGAAAGATATCCATTGGCATAACATATATCTCCTATGTGAAAGACTATATCAATGTTCTTCAAGTCCTCAATAAGCTGTTTGGTAGTGTTAAGGGAGCCAGGCTGGAAATTATTATATTCATTGGAGCCATCGGCCTCAGCCTGCAGCGTGAAGCAAGGAGAGGTGAAATTGACTTCAGGAAGAGTAGATACCACCAAGCTGAATAATACAAGTAATAACAGGGGAAAGGCCATGATGTTTTCAGCTGAATTGCAAAGTGAGAACGTCATTGTGAGATGAAACACATGATGGAGAAATGAAAGGGTTCTGGGAGAGCAATAATTTCTTGGCAACATGACAAATTGCATAGAATGTGTTCAATTTCCAAGGAACAATGATTGCAAAAATGGGGATTTATGTTTTATATTTCTAATATATCTACCAAAAGAATCCAAACCTTTCCCATATCGCCATAAATGACTACTCGTTGTAGAGAATTTTGACCAGGGTAAGGAGATGCCCTAAATTGGTATATGTGACTCCAAATATATGTACCGTTGAACAATCTGTGGCCTATTTTGTAGGTGTACCTGCAGAATCAGTATGAAGCATATATCGTATCAAGATAAAAGTGAAATTTTACAATTGACAGCAAACTCCTCAATGATTTATGATGCTTATATGGTGAAAACACCTATTTTTTTACATTTTTAAATAGTAAGAAATTTCAAACCTAATTCTTTTCAAGAGAATCAGAAATCAAGAGAGAGACAGAGAGAGACAGAGCCTCACAGTTGAGATATAGAGAGAGTGAAGCTCACATTAGTGTTCTATTACTACGCCTCCTAAAACCAAACTGTTTTTCATGATTTTAATAGGAATAGTTGTCAAATTGGTATCATTTGCTCTCATTTCAAGTATGGAAAGCTCACATTTGTGTTCTATTACTACACCTCCCCTAAAACCAAACTATTTTTCCTGATTTTGATAGGAATAGTTGTCAAATTGGTATTATTTTCCCTCATTCATGTATGTGTATCATATGGTTTGGATCTCGTTACTTGTTGCAAAAATAAAAAGTACGCAATATACAACTAATAACTTGACTAGATGAGGGATATGGTTTGGATCGTAGTCTTACGCCACTCAATAACTTATATTAATCACATTTTGGGTATCCACTGTTTGTTTGGGTCCTCCTCCCCTGGCCACCATACATTGCGAGCACTACTTTATAGGACATCTCTTTATATGCTTTTACTATTAGGAAGTATAATACATTCTATGAAGGTCAATACTACTAAACAGAATGGAAAAGTTGTTATCGATAGGGATTAGCTATTCGACTTATATAAATAAAAAATACGTATATAAAAAATACGTAAATAAAAAAGAATAAATGCTTTTTGCTTGCAGGTATTATAAGAACCTTGCTTTTTCTGTTCCTCATTTCGTGACAAACAGCAACTGAACTTATTAAAACAAGAGGCTATAAAGAAGAAGAAGTTCTGGCCAAACTTCTGAGAACTAAACCTAAATTTAGCAGATCTATGATATCTATAAAATTCAAGCAAACGATAACATACATTGAGTTAGGCCACAACTCCTTCAAGAAACTTGTATGAATAAATCCAGGATCACGCCAACCAACAGTTCTTGCTGGTGCACCTGCATGCATGAGTAATAAATCATAATACTGACATCTACCTTAATAAGTTGGCGAAATGCAAAAGCCTTTGGTCGATTCCAATCAAATGAATAGTTATAGAAGAGTCCCTCTAATATCTGTTGTGACTGGAAAAAGGACAAAATTGATATTAAGAATGTGCATTTTATTAATCCCAATTTTAGGACCTGCAATTGCTTCAACAATAAGACGTGTGCAAACAAAGCATTGTTTCTTGGGCTGCGTGTTATCTTTGTAGTGACAGAGGTATAAGTGTTGAGTTGCATAAACCTACATACTTGAGCCATTTTGTATATTCTTAAGAATCTTAACATGTACAGCAAGCATTATCAACCCAGACAGAAGCACCAAGTCAAGACCAAAGTGCATACAAGATCCATGTTTTGAAAGTTGGATTGGCAGCCATTATTGAGAAAAAAGGTTGATCTGCCAGGCAAACCATTCACACCCTGCCATATGCAACAAAATAAAAACAAAGCTCAAGTGCAAACAATTAACACATCTTACTCACCACACATGCTTTTCCGGTCAAAAGTAAGCGTCCCAGCAGGGGAACGCCGCTGTTCTCCTCCTTGGGGACCCCATTCAACAAAAGGATCTGCTTCATTGATTCCATATCCGCTCGTCCATGTCACAGTCATCTGAATATCCATCCAATATCTCAAGAAGTTGTTAACCCCAAAATTAGAGTAGAGGTCAATTATTAGATTTAAAGAAGTCCGGGCCATGTATTGAGATGGACAATCTCGTGGGCAAATTTATAGAATCAAAGAGAGAACAAGTAGGAGCTTCCAGGACGCAGTTTTCCCTTAGATTCATCACATTCTATATACATGTTCACAAGCTAAAATAAGGGAGAAAGTAAACTTACTTCATTCCACATCTTCCCCTGTGCCAAGCGTGGGTAAACTGGTGCATTTGGATTTGCAAAGGCAATTGTATTTGACACAGCTACCAGCTTTGGCTATTGACAAAGAAAGAAATCATATTGCAACAAGGGTTGGTCATGAAGGAAAAAGAGGATCGAACGATAAGAAAGGTAAAAACAAGGAACTCAAAGGAAATGATATCGACGAAGAATTAAAAAGGTTTCTCAGGTAATTATAGGCAAGCTGTATATCTATAACACTTCCATTCCAGGACCACAGAAATGGCATCCTGAACCCTCCTTTTATTTTTAACAAGTAAAAGAATCATTTTAGTTCTTGGAAATTTTGAAACAGAAGAAAAAATTTGCTTCTATAAGGTTCAATAAGAAAAATTGCTTCCAACAATTTTTATAGGAAACTGAGGAATCAGAACACCCTATTTCCATCACAAACGTTTTCCAAAAATATAATATTTTAGCTTGGAACTAACTTAGGGCTATTATAGTGACTATATAGCACATTATGCAGATTTTAGGACAAGGGAAAGACTGGTACAAGCATACATTTAATAATCCACCAGAAAAGAGAGCAAAAGAGAAGTCCGATCTCTGGTTGACCAATTGAAGCTTCAACAATCCTTTTCCAGTCTGGTTGTACTTTGGATTGGTATAGTTTGCGTATTGAAACTACAAGAGAGGTGAGATGATTAATTGTAAAATTCTACTTTTTTCTTTCACTAAATAAAACGACATGCCCAGAGGCCACATAGAACACTCATGGCCACAAAGCAGTATAGCACAAACCTTAATAGGCGCCGTACAAATTAGTGGAGGATTAACTTTAAGATTCTCAGGGAGGCAAGTAGCAGCACTGAAAAACAAGAGAAATTCAAATGCCTCCTATTAATTTATGCTGAATCATCTACACAGTATGAAATTTCAGCTGGAGTCAAATTTTGGGAATAGAATTGATATATAAAAAGTAATTATACCTGAAATTGGCAGGAGAAAATACTCCAATCCAATCATCAATCGAAGGGTTTGGAATCCCATACTCTAGAGTCACCCATTCTGAATTTTGCTCCTAGAACAGTGAAGTACTATTTCATCAGCCCCAAATTACACAACTATTTTGAGACTTCAGTTACTTTAATTTTTCCCGAGTGTCTACCGTTGGGGGAAGAAAATAGGGAATGGACTTTGCAAATACAGAAATTTAAGACTGGTAGTCAACAGATTTCTTCAGGCACATGAAGGCCATCAACACCAGTCGAACACAAAGTATGCCTCAAGCACCATTGCAGCTTTGTGCGCGTGCCACTGGTTGCAGCCACACTAGCCTTCATGTGTCCCTTCTAGTGCCAATAAATTCAAATTGATAGCTCCTATATTATAGCCAATTCACTAACTTGTCTTTTCCCACGCAGAACAAAGTTTTTACTCAAAAAATAGTTCTTGGAAAAAAGTTTGAACAATAGATAAAATGCATGTATACTTGCAATAACACGTGCTTGAAGAAACTCTATAATACAAAAAATAAAAGCATGGGTGGTGTAACATTTAATAATCCATGGTGTAGTGAATTGAGAAGAAAAGACTAGAATCACAGTGCAATTAAAACTTACAATCAATCCAAGAACTGGTGGAGAGGCTTTAATATAGGCATGATCATTAATAGCTAACACTGCCTTGTGTATGGCAATTCTTGAAAAAGGGTGATCACCATGTGATAATGCGCCTTCAAGACTCACAAGAACCCACAAAATTGCCAAGAGAATCCTCCCTAAAGTTCTCATCGCCATAGACCTGTCCTTCTCAGCAACACAAAATCAAAACAAAAAAAAAAAACTTGCAACTTTAATATCTTGAGGAATGAGATTCACATGGAATTAACTGAAATTAAGAGGACCGCCAGGTGAATGAAAAATAGCAACTGGGTATCATTGAAATAACACTCACTCAGCTCAGAGTACAGTGTCTGTTCGTGTATGTGCGTGTGTGTGTGTGTGTATGAGAGAGAGAGAGAGAGAGAGAGAGAGAGAGAGAGAGAGAGAGAGAGAGGGGTGAATGGAAAAGAGCAACTGGGTATCATTGAAGTAACACTCACTTAACTCAGAATACAGTGCCTGTTCGTGTATGTTTGTTTGTGTGCGTGAGAGAGAGAGAGAGAGAGAGAGTACCTACAGGATTGATTGATTGATTGGAATTTGGAAGAGAACCAAACGGTGGAAGACTCAAAAGGAAAATACAAATACTGCAATGTGAAGTCAACACCAAATCTCGAATGAGAGCGGGCGGAGAGCTCTGCGGGGAAATTTTCGAATCTTATAGGGAACGTTGGATCTATCTAACGCTGTACTTACTTTGAATGATTTACAAATTCACGCTTCAATTATTAGATTTTCACATTACAACTTTAATATATTAAGTTTTTGTTTCTATATATTAAAATAATTACTGTGCGTGCAAGATCCTGCACAATATAAAAAATATTGGAAACAGCTCTCTCCCCTGGTGAACTTTGAGTGAGCCGGTTGAGTGGCCGAACGCGCCGCTTGAAACAACCTGCGAGGTCCGGTGGAAAAGAGGAACGGCAAAGGAAGATCCTGGGAAAAGAAGAACGATCCTGTACGTGTGAAAGGTATTTCCTGGAACAAAGGAGAACAAGTTAGAAGGGCGCCGGAGTGTTTTCCGGCGTATCCCCTCCGACGGTCTAGTCAGTCTTTGAATGAGAGAGAGGAAGGAGAAAACACTGAGAAGGATATTTTGTAGTAGAGAGTTTGTGAATGCCCACCCGCTTTGCCTTTTTGGGAGGAGTATTTATACCTTAGAAGCTCATGATTGCTGTCAGTGTGGTCAGTAGGTGATCATCAGGCACAGGTAGCGTGTGTATTGATTTGACGAGGAATGTCTTCTCTAATTGATTGCTCGGGGTCCCGGGCAATCAATGCTGAGCCGTCGGGATGCCGACGGTACAATATGCTCCTTTTCGGGAAGGATGCAATAAATGCTCTGTAATAGGAGCATTTATTGCCTTTCATATCCGAACCTTACCGCATTGAATGCGGTCTCGTCAACAGAAGGGTGCAATTAATTTGTTTGCTTTCCCAAGTCGCGTGTCAGCAACGGCATGCGGTTTGTCTGCTTCTGATGTGACATTATTTGCCACACGTCCATCCCTTATTGGCTGTGACGTCGGTATTCCAGCACGTTCTGACATTACTTGTGTAGGACGAGGTCATGATGAATAGTCTAGACTGGCATAGGCTGATGTCCCGTACGTCAGTAGCTTTATCCGGGAGTAAAGGAAGCGTCCAGGATGGAGTGACCCTCGGCACCGAGGAAAGGCTCACCTCGGGGACCGAGGGCGGTATGTTTCCGAGCTACCGGTGACCGAGGACACGTGTCGTTTGTATAATGCACCGAATATGTGATCCTATATGAGAGGTACCTCGGGAGAGAGGACACTTTTTGCCGATGGTGCTTAAACCCGAGCAACTTTGTTCTAGAAACCCCGAGGACACGTGTCTTCATCATAGGGCTTTTCAAAAGAGTCCCATCAATTACAATATAACTTTTTTTTATTAATTTAGATTCATTCTTTTTATCAACGCTAATCAAATAACTTTTGACCAAATAAACAATTAAAACTAGAGGAAAGGTAACTTTACAATATTTTTAGTATATTGAAAATATAATGTGTAAAAAATAATTTTTGAGGGTATAAAATAAAAATTTTGAACCAATGACTCTCAATAGTATTCCTTATCTTGTAAAGGATAGTGTGCATATACATTTGATAGTGAAATATTTCTTTCCAAGACATGGTCATATTGTAAAGGGTTAATCATATATTGCATTCCAAAAAATCTCTCGAATCTCAATTTATATCTTTAAAGATTAAAAATTTTATTTTGTACCCTCAAAAATATAAATTTGTATTAATGCACACCTGAAATTAACAGTGGTTGTCATCTAAAATTAGTTGGATAAGTTATAATTAGACCAACTCAATTTTTTCACTTAATCATTTGGATACCTCACATTTAGAATAGTACTCTTACACCTCCTGACGTTTGTGCACATGTAACACATAATTTCTTGTTGTTGATATTTGTTAATATAACTGTTAAAAAATATGATTTTACCTTAATAAAAAATTATAATTTTTATGTTACTGTTTATTTTGTGAACCCGTTATACTCTAAAAATCAAAATCAAGCTTACCATTAGTATGCCTAATATAATATTATTTATATCAAATGCAATACATCACTTGAATAAAATTATTTGAATACCCAATTGAAAGAATATTTTTAGTCATTCTTAGATTCTTAAGGGATGTAAGTGTAATATTTTAAATGTGAGGGATTTAGGTGATTAAGTCACAAGTATGAGAGGTCAAGGTATAATTTATCCATTTAATTTTAGATGATAAAATGACGGATGTTAATTTTAGGTGCGCATTAATAAAGATTTATACCTTTTAGGGTACAAATTAAAATTTTTGATTTTTGAGGGTATAAATTGAGATTCAAATGATCTTTTGAAATATAATTTACGATTAACCCTATTGTAAACACCGAACTTGCAATGGCCCACCAATCATAAGTATTAGTTAAACCCAACAATAATCAATAAAAATTAAATCCAAAACTTCTGGGTTTACAATTTATTCTAAATTAAACTTACAATTTATTACATTGGGTAAGTGAAAATAAACATCTGACGTAGATATAAGCACAACAGTATCTTTACAGCAGAGAGGTCAGCCGCTACTGATGGGATGCCAATGGGAACTAGGTACCCCCGAGTTGATATTCTTGCCTTTGATTTTTTTGGGTGTAAAACAAAATTTGAAAAAGTGAAATAAAAAAATCAGAATTAAAAAAACTCTTAAAATTGTTTGGAATATTTATGAAAAAATCGACTTTTCCTTAGAAGTCTTTGAATAAACCTCATTTTTCAGTTTTTTATTGGTGCTGATAAAAGTTATTTTTGTCTAAAATATTGATGAAAAAATCACTCAATAAGGCCGAGTCTAAACAAACCAAACTTCTTTTCTTTGAAACAAAAAAAAAAAAACTAAAGTTTTAAGCCAACCCTAAATACTCACTGTCTCAGTTGGCAAGGGAAGTCCTTACCAGCTGAACAACCCGGGTTCGAGTCTCAACTCTCTACTCCTCTTTTCGACTCAATGTATGATGTCTTACTATCATTAAAAACATAAATATATCCATGAAGTAAAAATATGATGCATAATGAGTCGAATAGTCTTCTAGACATAAAAAATTAACACGCGCTCCCGTTGAGCCTCTTTGACGACACTAGCATACATGTTCTTCCCACTATCCATCGCTTGGCCTACCCTTTGGCTCTGATACCACTTGTAATGGTGTTAAGTCATTCAAGTCCACAAACTGCGGTACTTTGCTAATGGTTCGCTATAACAAACTAAGTTGAAAAAGTTTTTTCTATCTTATTAGTGATGCCTCAACGTCATTTCTTATTAAAGACGCTGGTTTAATCTCGATTATATGCTCCCATAAAATGGTATGACAAACAATGAGTTGAAAAATCAAGTAGACATCAAAGAGAACACCACCACGATTTTCGTTTAGATGGGAAAAAGCCTTCCCTCAATATCATGAACTGTTCAATTCGGATCTTGTTTAACCGAACAACAAGCTATAATCAGCTTCAAAGGAAGAGCATCATCCAGAAGAGTAAAAAACCTGGAACAAAATCATAGAAAAAACAGAGTTAATCACTTGAGAAACTAGGAGTTTGTGTGATTTTTGTTACCGATGAAGTCAATGACAATACATTTCATCAAATCATATCGTGACGTCGTGAATTGGTATTTAGCCTCTTAAATTGATATTGGTTTGTTCTCACAAATATTAGAAATGTTACTAGAGACCGGAAGAAGAATGAAAAACGTCACTAACACTCACGAGATAAGATTTTTTAGATAAGTTACAAATTTAGTACCTCTTTTTTTTTTTTCAAGAGAGTTGAAAGGTCAGACAGAACTCAAGTGTCCCTTTGATATGAAATCTAATGAGTGAGAACGCACACCGACTTTGTTTTGGACAACAACAAAAACATAATGAAGAGAATGACACTACAACCCACAGCTAAAGAGGACTTTTTGTCTGAAATGTGATGGACATAAAGTAAAGAGAGACAAAGGTATTGACTTTTACCTCCAAGACTAATAATGGTTTCAATTCTGGGTCCCCAGCTCCCGCTCCAAGCATATCCTAATCATATCAAAAGTATATATCAGACATATAAACTACACAAAAAAACCAAAAAATTCAGCCTAGTGTTTCGATTAGTTTGAAAACGGAAACATTGAAAAAGGAGAAAATTTTTCAAAATACTGGGCAAAATATTAAAACAACCAAAAAATGAGTATTTTGATTTTTCATCGATCCATTTCTAAAACATTTTGATTGCTTTGGAAACATTTCGGTTGTTTTGAAAGAAATGAAGCCAATATTGTTAACCAAAATGAGCAAGAATGGGAACCAACCTCGCCCAAAACAATTGGTGGTGGTGTTCAAACCATTATGGCAAATGCAAGCAAAGGACTCATCCAAACCAGAAAATCCACACAAGCCCCCACTATCTTCACAATTTCTACAACCTTCGCTGATATATGTGTCATTATACTTTAAAGATATCCCAAATTGCCATTTCATGGGATCCCCCTCATCCCCTCCAAACCCATAAATCGACGTATAAGATGAGCATTGTAGCTTAGGAAGATCAAGTCCATAATCCGAACCAAGTGCAATAGGAGGATCATAAACACAGCAAGTAGAAGTTGGTGCATTTGGTCCCAATCCAATTCCTGTCACCCCTTTGCAGGAATACAGACCTCTGCAGACTCGAGAACCTGACCCTGTATCGCATAAATCTTCATTGGGATCAAACACTGGGGATGTCGTGGAGCACCCTAGCAGAACAAAGAGATTATTCGCCTCGATGCTGAATGGGCTGCCGCGATCTAAGCTAAAGCTTCCTGAATTCTGCATTGAAGAACAAGTTGACATGAAAGGGTCTGTGAGAATTAGAGTGTTGGTAGTGTAGTCTATTGAGGAAATGCTGTAAATCCCACTTCCAGTAGAGAACTGGAGTGTCCCGGAGCTACACTTCATGTATCTAGAAAAATCAGGATGGCCACAGCCAAATCCTGAACCAAAGGGGAACTTAAGGCGAACGCTGCCACACGAATCAAAACACGACCCATTCATGGGGATGATACTCGGAATAGCATGGAGGGAGGAAGTAAGGGAGAGCAAGAGCAGTGTGTGGATGATTAGCCATAAATTTTGGGCAGGTGACATTGATGAAAATCTTGGTAGAGAGATTGGTAGGTATAAAATATAAATTCGAGAACTAATACTGTAATACAGTAATGTTTTTCATGAGCTATAGATATTTGAAAAGCAGCAAGAGTAAAGTCTTCTTTTCGGTGGTGCTGGTTATTTTCAACATTCCTAAAAAGTAGAGCCTCCCCCTAATCATGGGATCTAGCTCAAAAGCACAAAGTTTTTTCAATCAAAATACATATTTCTTCTAAACTAATATTAAATGGATTTAAAAATTAGACTTGATAATTCAATCATTGAATATGTAGTAGGTCCTAATAAATGCTGAAATTCACAATGAAACCAATGGTTATAATTATCAAATTTAGTTTTTAAGTTCAAGTAACATTCCTCTTCTCCATATATATCCAAATAATGAACTATTATGATTTCAGAATAATGATTCTGTAGCAATAGACAAAGTACTCATAGGATGAAGAGAAACCGAAAGAGGGCAGAATAAAACTTCTATAAAACCTCCAAAGAAGAGAGTTAAGAAACTTGACCCTTGATTCTCTCAAGATTAGAAGGGGTAACCGGTAAATGTTTAGCAGGACGGGTCGCTTGAGTGTCAAAACCAAGCGGTGGTTGGTTGTTTCCCTTGGCTTATCAAACCAGCAAATGCCCATTCCTCCTTTGATGACCTCCCAGTAGAGAAAACTGTTGCAAAATCATGAGAATGATGAAAAATACAAGTAATTGCTGAAAAAATAAAAGATGCTAATTGTGCTAAGAAAATTTCCTTTCTTATTCCTTTTTTCTTTGAAAATATGTAATAAACAATATCATCATCAACAATTTGAACAGTTATGAGGTTTGAATAATAATATACTCTTGGTCAAAGCACCCATGAGACCATTGCAAAGAGATAAATTTGATTAGAGACCACTTGTTAGTATAACAAGCACACACAGGGCTATAGTTTTTTGTCAAACTAGTGTAGCAACATTGGATTGAGGACGTGTCCAACATTTATCAATAATGTTGCCATGGCGCTTTAATATCTACAATATTTTCCATTTTCATCTTTTCCTTGTGTCCATCATTCGAATAAAATAAGGCAAAAAACCAACCAGAAACCAATAGATCCACTTATCATGATGAATTATATTTGTTTGACACACTGTTGTCGACATAAATGTTGAGAAAGGGATACAATTTCAATTGCAAATTAAATTTAATAATATATTAGTAATTATGGTCAATTAAATCCTCTTTCAAAACAGAATTCTTGCTTCTCTCATCTTCCTAAACACAGAAAATTCAGATTGAAAATCTTGATTCAGGCATGGATTCTTCTATCAGAGCATCATAGATACCAAAACCAATGTGGAGTCAATCAAACTTACTAAATCCATTTTAAAAAAAAAAAAAAAAAGAAACTTCACCACTTACAATGCTTTTCTTCACTAAAATCCGAATCTTGCCCTCCCCTTTCTCTTGAAACTGGAGAAAAGTTGCCAAAACAAATTCCAAAGTACCTGCCTTTCATACCCAGTAATCACACTATAACGAAATGTCCTACAAGGAAATACCCTTTGGTTAAAAAAACCAAACAAACCCATTGATCAAACCTTCTAACTTCTAAGTTCTAACTCCGTAATCTTTCCTTCAAACACCTTCGAGGCATATAAATAAGCAAGAAAGCCACATCTTTATTCATCTGACCGAACACCCAAAACCGACATTGTTTCCAATCACTTTCTGGGCATATCACTAACCGATTCAAGCTCAAGACAAGAACCCACCAAGGCAATCCTACAATTCTCGTAAAACAGCTGCAAAAACGCAATAAAACCTACCATTTTCATAGCAAATGGTGGGATATTTTCAGATATTCCAAGATAAGTACACGTGTCCTCGGCGTCAACGAATACTCGCCGATCAGATCACAACACGTGCACGTCGGTTCATAATCCCCCTTCTCCCGAAAATACTATTCACTGAGATCAAGGATTCCCAGTATCCCATAGACCGACACGTATCCCTCTGTCATTTTTGGGTACATTGGTCCTAGCGACGCTGGACCCTTGGCATCGAGGTATATTCGTCTACGAAGTATTTATGCTCCTAGAGGACTATTGATGGACAGCTTAGGTTAAACTAGACTAATCATCATGACCTCGTCTTACTCGAATGGTATCTGGAGGCACAAGAAAGCAAAAGACTCAACCAAGGGGAATGGACACGTGGTGTATTGTGTCAGATCAGAGACAAAAAGACCATAATGCCCTTACTGACACGCGACTTAGAAAAACAAGTATTTAATACACCCTCCCCTTGATAAGACAACATTTAATGCATAAGAACTTGAAAGTGAAAAGTAATAAATGTTCCAAAACCTGGACATTTAATACACCCCCGCCGAGGAAAGATCATTAAACGTTCGACAAATCGAGGAGAAAACATTAATTGCTCGGGGTCCCAAGCAGTTAAGAATAAAAACATTACTCATAGAAATTGATGTGCACACTGTCCATCTCTAATGATTACCTACTAGTTACGCTGTCAGCAATAATGAATTTTTAAAGTATAAATAGTCCTCACAAACACATAAAAGAGGTACGCAAAAAATCTTTTCTCAAGCATCATACAGTGTCTTCTTCTTTCCCTCTCTCAAATAACTGACTTGATCGTCGAAGAGGATACGCCGAAAAACACTCCGGCGGCCTTCTAACCCGTTTTTCTCTGTTCCAGGAATCTCTCTTAGCCTTCCAGGACCAAGCAGGTGACCCATAAAAAACGATTAATCACCACTTCTTTGACTACCTTCGGCCCTCACAATCTATTCCAAGTGGCAAGATTAACCACTCAATTAACGGACTCGTGTTCACCATGAAAGAGATATGTTCTTGTATTTATATTGTGCAGGATCGTGTACGCACAGTAAATTCAATGAGAATGTTGCCCCATAAATAAATGGCATGAAAAAAACCTATTCTCGAACATGGACTTGGCCAATGCAAAAGCAGGGGCACCAGTGTAAGCATATTCCAATGATCAAAAAAGGGATTCAATTTCATGTTCTAAAAATTTGTGGTTTAGTGTTCAAGTTGTTTCTCATATTTCCTCGGACATGTTTTAGTTGGAGACATGATGGCCAGTTTTAGAGTTTGAGGAGTAATCGACTTAAATTAGAAAAACTTATAACAAAAATATATATATATATATATATTTTGTGTTGTTTTCTAGCAAAACAATATGCAGTAGAGGTCCGTTGAGATTATGGGTGACAGTGACCGAAGATGAGTGGGGTGAGAGAGATTAGGTGAAAGCTTTCGAGGAATAATAAAGAATCGTTTGATAACGTTTTTGTTTTCACGTCTTAAAAAAAATTAAAGCTAGATATAATTTTGTACGTTACTTTGATGATCTCAAAAATAAAAATATCAAAAACAAAAGTGGATAAAAAAATTTAAATGTTTATTTTAAAAAAATAAAAAATATTGGTACACAAATACCTAAATATTTCGATAATTTTAATATTTTAAATATTTTCAGGTGTACATTGAAGGATACTTGGTGTAAGCTATAAAGAAGATGAAATTATTTCTCTATTTGTGCATGTGTGTATTTTTTGTGTTCCGTCTTTTGTAATATTAACTAATTATACATGGTTATGATGATTTTGAGAATAAAATGATGGTTGTTTTTGTGGTTGGGTATATATTGATGATTGTTGTGTATTATAATAATTGTTATTGATAATTGAAAATTTTGTAGATAGGTTTAAATTTTTCTAGACTTCTATTTTTAAAAGAAACTTTGCCGAAATTTCTTGAAATTAATAGGGACTAGCTTGATATTTGGGTGGTTGGATACGTGTTGATGATTGAGCATATATTAATTATTGTGGTGGTATGATAAATTATGATGATTGTTATATCTGATTGTAAGTTCTATAGACATGTTTTTTTAGGTTGCAAAGAATCTTTAGATAATGTAATATTTTGTAATTTTTCATTACGAAGGCACAATTACTACTTACCAAATATTCTAAAATATTATGGCACATTTCAAGATACACTGAAATATTAAAATTTCAATTATATGGTCAACTCATTTTGGTCTTCATTAAAATGGAAACGTTTTGATTATTTCGAAATTAAATTTTGATCTACTCTTCTTTGAGCAAGGGGGGGGGGGGGGGGGGAAGTTTTGAGAATGAGGTGTATTTTTCTAATAAGTAAACATACAGGCAGAGCAAAAGCTGGAATAGCTCAGTTGGTTAGAGCGTGTGGCTGTTAACCACAAGGTCGGAGGTTCAAGCCCTCCTTCTAGCGAGCAATCTTTTTGCTGGGTGTACACTGATTTTAATATTTTTTTCCAACTTTTCTGCTTAAAACTGAAACAAAATAGAAAATTAACCAAAGAGCCGAAAAAAACGACAGAAAATTGATCATCACAGACTTATTATTATTTTTTTAAATTGGTTATAATTATATAAAATGTGAATAATACAAAAAAGTTCAACACACATTACAGTAGAAAACACAAAGCAATCCCAACGAAGTTTAATGTGATTTCCTAATTCTCAACTTGTAAAATTCTAAAAAATGAATTTTTGATTCTTATTATTTTTTGACTCTAATAAACTTAATTTGGTTGAATTTTTTTTTTTAATTATTATTATAAGGAAAGGAGTCAAAGTTTTCACAGAAAAAAATCCTTTCATTAGAAACATGCTATGAAAAAAGAATTTTCCTTCAAATTTTGATTATTTATCCTCTAAATTTCATCAAATATTTGGACATTATTATTAAAATCGAAATCACACAACATACAAAAATTTGATGTCAATAGAATTACATGTGAAAAGCACTAAATTTTGAAACAATAATCACACTCTTTTTCTTCCACAAAATTTCTGGAAAGCACACAATCAAAGCCACAAAATATATCAATTTGAATTTAATTTGACATTCTTTTTTCTGATAGAGATCGACGAAAAATTGGAAGATCTGAGTCTCAGGCCTGTAATTGAACCAAGGAATGTATCCGTTTGAGTCTTAAGATTCCATGTTCTCCTTTCTGACCATGTCTTGAAAAAAATTTCCAAGCAGCCTCTGATCAAAAACCATATTTGGTACCTGCATAACAATTCTCTATTGAGTCTGAACCTCCACACACACAGAGAGAGAGAGATCTGGCTAAGTCTAACCTTGTTTCCAAAGAATATTTTGGAGTTGTTAGCAATCGCCTCGATGAATTTCAGTTCCAGATATTCGGGAGTAAGCATCAACTTGTTTGCTTCTGCTTCCTTCATTGTCCTGAAGATGCAAGGTATTGCATTGTCATCATTTAACCTCATAGAATTTTCTGAGAGTTCCCATTTCACAAAAATAAACACATATCTATTGAGGGAAAGAAAGAAATTCACCGATAGAAACTGGCATCTGCCAAGCTCTGTTCACGAGCCATATACATAGCATTGGCTATTTCTTCTTGCCTCCTTGCACTTTCTTTCTCCATCAATTTTTGTTCCATCTGGATCTTGCTAACATGGGCATTCTTCTGAGCTTCACTTATAGCTATTTTCTTCTGTGTCTCTGCCTCTTTTTCAGCTACCATCTGTTTCTCTATTGCAATCAAGACCTACAATTAAAATTCATCACTCAACAGAAACTTATGTGGATTGAACTTAGTCAAGAGCATATAACTGCCCAAATCCAATCTCTCCTCCCCACCCACAGACAAAGAACAAGCAGCAGGTAAAGAAATTAATTAATTGTCACAAGACATCACTTTTTGGGCATCAAGAACAAATGAAAATGTAAATCTTTAAATAGTAAACCCACAAAAAATGAAATAATTACCATGTGAGAAGAAAGTGATGAAGAGATGCAACAGAAAAAACTGCCTTGTATCTACATGATATACTGATCCACCTCATTTACAATTAAGTAGTTCTTGCTAGCATGAGTAATCGAATGACATAAAAACTCTTGACAACAACCTCAAAGAAGATGTTGTCTATTACACAGTAAACTTAGTAGTGTTACTTGTTTAAATCTTTTTTAATCAACACTCACTGGAAGAAGGGGGAAGGGGAGAGGGGCTCGTAACTTACAAGATCAGACAAAAGAAAGTACCTTAGTGCGTTCTTCTTCCATGTGTTGAAAATTCCGCCTTATGCTATCTGGAATACTGGGTTTTGTGACACGAACACTGATAATTTCGATACCTGGAGCATAACGTGTGCAATCAGCTTGAAGAGCATCTTTCATTTTCTCATCAATCTGAAAATTTCACCAATCAGACCAGCAAAGTGATTCATTTGAAATAAAGAAGGAAGCAAAAAGAACTCACATCAGAACCATTGTCACCGATTACCAGCTTAATTGATAAGCATTAACTGCTCCAATTATGGGGGCCACTAAAGGTTCTTCAAATCAGAGACTCAAACAAATGAAAAAGACATTGCTATACCTGATCAAACATGTCAATATAAACTTGCTGAAGGCTATGAGCACTGCAAAACTGATTGATCTCATGATGAATTTTGTCATATATCCATGTGTTGTCATAGTCTACACCATAGTTGAGCAGTGTTTCATACACATAGTCCTTTTTAAGACGATTAACAACCTGAAGGCATACATATCGATAAACATAAAAAAGCAAATGCGACATTTAGACAGCAAAGTGGTTGTAATGTCGAATAAATAGCAAGTCTTCGTAGGTTTACTTCTATCTTTGCAAAGTTGATCATAACGCCACCTTTTGTCCCACAAGGAATATCCCTCACCTACATTTTATCATGAGATAACATGCAGAGAAATTAGCCACAAATTTTTTCATTCACGCATTATAATGGAAATATAGTGTTTGTCCTCTAAAAAATTGAAAATTTTCACCAAATTAAAAGAATTCTGACCAAATCTGTTTGAAGTGTGACTTGAATAGGCTCAAAGTGGGTTATCAAAGGCATTTTCAGATGAAAACCTATAAACCAGCATGTTCAGATGACCCATAAGAAGTGAGATGATAAGCAGGCAGTCTACAATACAAGAAGATATAGAATGCAAATCAGATGATAAAAGGGCACAATCAAACCTGGATTCGTAATTGTGTTTAAAAGGGCACCTCCTTGCCAATATACCCCAACATGACCTTCTGGAACTTGGTGCAAGATATCAAAACTATTCTTTAGGATTGATGATGATGGAATTAGGACCTGTACATGTGTTATGGCAGGTCATAAAGTTTAGGTTCAATTTAATTGCAAATTACACATACTTCTTAGTTTACACAAGGTCACCTAATATTTGTAAAACAAGAATCTAGCATTCGTAAAAGCAGTAATTATCATGAACATATGGTGAAAGCACTAACATAGTTATCTTCTCAAACGTGATTAAATTGCCATATATGATAACATGGAGCATCACAGCAATTGCATGAATTAGAGGGCAAGATAATCTTGAAAAAATATGCAGAATTACGCAGTCTTATAAATGAACGTGTTGTTATGTGCTTTAGACGTAAGAGGAAGTGGAAGAAAAGGCATGGGTTGCATGTATTCAATAAGTTCAATGATAAATGCTTGTTTCCGGGAATTCCTATTGATTTCTGATGGATAACAATCGCTTTCGCTCTTTCTCCCAATCAATCGCGAGGGTTCCGGGCATGAGAACGCAAGTGCCGTAATCAAACAAAAGGTCCGTGGGATTCATCTCGACTAGTCTCTCAAGAACATCAGACGCCTGTGTCCCTCGCGGTAGGTTAATTCCTGATTGCTGAAATAAGGGCTCCAGCTGTCTGGAAGATATTGTTCCTTTAGAGTGTCGGCAAAAGATTCTGTTACCCGATCTTGTTTGCAGAATTATCAAACAAATCTATTAATCACCATAAAATCGCATACGTAGATAGATGTTCAAGAATAGAACAGTATGATCATTAACCTAAACTTGGACACGTTTCAAACCGCAAACTACAAATCTTGAGGATACTATCTCTCACACCATGGGAGATGCGACAAGATAAGATGTTTAGGCGATCATTATTATTTAACTAATCCTGCTGGCACTCTCTCTCTCTCTGTGCAATAAGCAATGAGATTGATTACCAGGGCGAAGATAGCGATGAAGGACAATAGCACTGTGAAATTGGCGGTGGAGTCTCTACCACCACCACCGCCTCCTCCTTGTGGCCGAGTAGCCGCCGCCCTCTGTTGCTGCGCGTCCATAGAGGTCCCTCTGTGTGTGTGTGTGTGTGTACCGTGAGCTTATGAAGTGCGACCGATGGGTTTCAGTTTCGATTACTTTTCCTTAAGACCTTAGTGTTTGTTTTTTGAGCAAATCCTTAGACCTTAGTTGAAGCAATGAATAATTGCAAGGATAACTACTACGGCTTTTCACATTTTGTACCCCAAAAGATATCTTAGATTTTTATTTTGTACCTTCANGCAATCTTTTTGCTGGGTGTACACTGATTTTAATATTTTTTTCCAACTTTTCTGCTTAAAACTGAAACAAAATAGAAAATTAACCAAAGAGCCGAAAAAAACGACAGAAAATTGATCATCACAGACTTATTATTATTTTTTTAAATTGGTTATAATTATATAAAATGTGAATAATACAAAAAAGTTCAACACACATTACAGTAGAAAACACAAAGCAATCCCAACGAAGTTTAATGTGATTTCCTAATTCTCAACTTGTAAAATTCTAAAAAATGAATTTTTGATTCTTATTATTTTTTGACTCTAATAAACTTAATTTGGTTGAATTTTTTTTTTTAATTATTATTATAAGGAAAGGAGTCAAAGTTTTCACAGAAAAAAATCCTTTCATTAGAAACATGCTATGAAAAAAGAATTTTCCTTCAAATTTTGATTATTTATCCTCTAAATTTCATCAAATATTTGGACATTATTATTAAAATCGAAATCACACAACATACAAAAATTTGATGTCAATAGAATTACATGTGAAAAGCACTAAATTTTGAAACAATAATCACACTCTTTTTCTTCCACAAAATTTCTGGAAAGCACACAATCAAAGCCACAAAATATATCAATTTGAATTTAATTTGACATTCTTTTTTCTGATAGAGATCGACGAAAAATTGGAAGATCTGAGTCTCAGGCCTGTAATTGAACCAAGGAATGTATCCGTTTGAGTCTTAAGATTCCATGTTCTCCTTTCTGACCATGTCTTGAAAAAAATTTCCAAGCAGCCTCTGATCAAAAACCATATTTGGTACCTGCATAACAATTCTCTATTGAGTCTGAACCTCCACACACACAGAGAGAGAGAGATCTGGCTAAGTCTAACCTTGTTTCCAAAGAATATTTTGGAGTTGTTAGCAATCGCCTCGATGAATTTCAGTTCCAGATATTCGGGAGTAAGCATCAACTTGTTTGCTTCTGCTTCCTTCATTGTCCTGAAGATGCAAGGTATTGCATTGTCATCATTTAACCTCATAGAATTTTCTGAGAGTTCCCATTTCACAAAAATAAACACATATCTATTGAGGGAAAGAAAGAAATTCACCGATAGAAACTGGCATCTGCCAAGCTCTGTTCACGAGCCATATACATAGCATTGGCTATTTCTTCTTGCCTCCTTGCACTTTCTTTCTCCATCAATTTTTGTTCCATCTGGATCTTGCTAACATGGGCATTCTTCTGAGCTTCACTTATAGCTATTTTCTTCTGTGTCTCTGCCTCTTTTTCAGCTACCATCTGTTTCTCTATTGCAATCAAGACCTACAATTAAAATTCATCACTCAACAGAAACTTATGTGGATTGAACTTAGTCAAGAGCATATAACTGCCCAAATCCAATCTCTCCTCCCCACCCACAGACAAAGAACAAGCAGCAGGTAAAGAAATTAATTAATTGTCACAAGACATCACTTTTTGGGCATCAAGAACAAATGAAAATGTAAATCTTTAAATAGTAAACCCACAAAAAATGAAATAATTACCATGTGAGAAGAAAGTGATGAAGAGATGCAACAGAAAAAACTGCCTTGTATCTACATGATATACTGATCCACCTCATTTACAATTAAGTAGTTCTTGCTAGCATGAGTAATCGAATGACATAAAAACTCTTGACAACAACCTCAAAGAAGATGTTGTCTATTACACAGTAAACTTAGTAGTGTTACTTGTTTAAATCTTTTTTAATCAACACTCACTGGAAGAAGGGGGAAGGGGAGAGGGGCTCGTAACTTACAAGATCAGACAAAAGAAAGTACCTTAGTGCGTTCTTCTTCCATGTGTTGAAAATTCCGCCTTATGCTATCTGGAATACTGGGTTTTGTGACACGAACACTGATAATTTCGATACCTGGAGCATAACGTGTGCAATCAGCTTGAAGAGCATCTTTCATTTTCTCATCAATCTGAAAATTTCACCAATCAGACCAGCAAAGTGATTCATTTGAAATAAAGAAGGAAGCAAAAAGAACTCACATCAGAACCATTGTCACCGATTACCAGCTTAATTGATAAGCATTAACTGCTCCAATTATGGGGGCCACTAAAGGTTCTTCAAATCAGAGACTCAAACAAATGAAAAAGACATTGCTATACCTGATCAAACATGTCAATATAAACTTGCTGAAGGCTATGAGCACTGCAAAACTGATTGATCTCATGATGAATTTTGTCATATATCCATGTGTTGTCATAGTCTACACCATAGTTGAGCAGTGTTTCATACACATAGTCCTTTTTAAGACGATTAACAACCTGAAGGCATACATATCGATAAACATAAAAAAGCAAATGCGACATTTAGACAGCAAAGTGGTTGTAATGTCGAATAAATAGCAAGTCTTCGTAGGTTTACTTCTATCTTTGCAAAGTTGATCATAACGCCACCTTTTGTCCCACAAGGAATATCCCTCACCTACATTTTATCATGAGATAACATGCAGAGAAATTAGCCACAAATTTTTTCATTCACGCATTATAATGGAAATATAGTGTTTGTCCTCTAAAAAATTGAAAATTTTCACCAAATTAAAAGAATTCTGACCAAATCTGTTTGAAGTGTGACTTGAATAGGCTCAAAGTGGGTTATCAAAGGCATTTTCAGATGAAAACCTATAAACCAGCATGTTCAGATGACCCATAAGAAGTGAGATGATAAGCAGGCAGTCTACAATACAAGAAGATATAGAATGCAAATCAGATGATAAAAGGGCACAATCAAACCTGGATTCGTAATTGTGTTTAAAAGGGCACCTCCTTGCCAATATACCCCAACATGACCTTCTGGAACTTGGTGCAAGATATCAAAACTATTCTTTAGGATTGATGATGATGGAATTAGGACCTGTACATGTGTTATGGCAGGTCATAAAGTTTAGGTTCAATTTAATTGCAAATTACACATACTTCTTAGTTTACACAAGGTCACCTAATATTTGTAAAACAAGAATCTAGCATTCGTAAAAGCAGTAATTATCATGAACATATGGTGAAAGCACTAACATAGTTATCTTCTCAAACGTGATTAAATTGCCATATATGATAACATGGAGCATCACAGCAATTGCATGAATTAGAGGGCAAGATAATCTTGAAAAAATATGCAGAATTACGCAGTCTTATAAATGAACGTGTTGTTATGTGCTTTAGACGTAAGAGGAAGTGGAAGAAAAGGCATGGGTTGCATGTATTCAATAAGTTCAATGATAAATGCTTGTTTCCGGGAATTCCTATTGATTTCTGATGGATAACAATCGCTTTCGCTCTTTCTCCCAATCAATCGCGAGGGTTCCGGGCATGAGAACGCAAGTGCCGTAATCAAACAAAAGGTCCGTGGGATTCATCTCGACTAGTCTCTCAAGAACATCAGACGCCTGTGTCCCTCGCGGTAGGTTAATTCCTGATTGCTGAAATAAGGGCTCCAGCTGTCTGGAAGATATTGTTCCTTTAGAGTGTCGGCAAAAGATTCTGTTACCCGATCTTGTTTGCAGAATTATCAAACAAATCTATTAATCACCATAAAATCGCATACGTAGATAGATGTTCAAGAATAGAACAGTATGATCATTAACCTAAACTTGGACACGTTTCAAACCGCAAACTACAAATCTTGAGGATACTATCTCTCACACCATGGGAGATGCGACAAGATAAGATGTTTAGGCGATCATTATTATTTAACTAATCCTGCTGGCACTCTCTCTCTCTCTGTGCAATAAGCAATGAGATTGATTACCAGGGCGAAGATAGCGATGAAGGACAATAGCACTGTGAAATTGGCGGTGGAGTCTCTACCACCACCACCGCCTCCTCCTTGTGGCCGAGTAGCCGCCGCCCTCTGTTGCTGCGCGTCCATAGAGGTCCCTCTGTGTGTGTGTGTGTGTGTACGTACCGTGAGCTTATGAAGTGCGACCGATGGGTTTCAGTTTCGATTACTTTTCCTTAAGACCTTAGTGTTTGTTTTTTGAGCAAATCCTTAGACCTTAGTTGAAGCAATGAATAATTGCAAGGATAACTACTACGGCTTTTCACATTTTGTACCCCAAAAGATATCTTAGATTTTTATTTTGTACCTTCAAATTTTTTTTTTCCTACATTATACCCTTAATGTCATAAATTAGTTTTAATGTAACCCTCCGACTAATATCTATTTTAGATTCTATTAAACATTTATGCTCATGCCACCAAATGATATGAATAATGAGTTTATATTTTTGTCTAAGAGTAAGACACGTGGGTGGTACGTGCATCAATTTTTAACAGAATTTGAAATGAATGTTAGTTCGAATGTCACATTAGAACTAATTTATGACATTCAGGGTGTAATATAAAGAAAATAATATTTTAAGATACAAAGTGAGAATTGAGATTTCTTGTGAGATACAAAGTACTAAAAACAATAAAATACTATTCAAGAAAATCTCCGTTTGCACTTTGAAAACCCTCAAATATGAGGTTTTTTATAATATATCCTCAATATATTAAAAGCATTTCAATATGACTTTCTATTATCTTTCGTTGCTTATTTTGTCACCTCATTGGGGTTGACATGATGAATTATAGAAACTAACGGAAGGGCTATGTTGTAACATTTTTAATATATTAAGAGTGTAATATAAAAAAATTAAATTTTAAAAGTATAAAGTAAAATTTTTAAATTTCTTAAGGTATAATGTGAAATTCTCCCATAGTATTCTGCAGCTCCAAAGATTGTTGTATTTTTAATTTATATCTTGAAAGATTGGTGTTCTTATATTGCCTCAATTAAACAAAAGATTACAAAGTGCTCCATTTTAAGAAAATTGGGTTTTTCACTTAAAAACCTAAAATTGAGTATTATAAAAACAATTTTGTATTAAAATAATATAAATATGATAAATAAACAAATTGTCAAAAAAGGCAACGAACATTCACTTTGAACTATATTGTTACATTTTTATCTGGTTAAGGGCATAATATGAGATTTTTTATCTTCTAGGAAATAAATTGAGAAGAGCAAAACTACTTAGATATAATACTAGGAGCTACTATCAATCTAATGATTATGAGTGATTAGGTCAACAAATTAGAGATGAGCCAAATTATTCTTCTCCATCTTGTAATGAGAAAATACCAAGATAAATAACTTAGAGAACAAGTGGCTTCTCTTTATAGGAGCGGTGATAATTGGGTTGTGTTGGATTGAATTCATATTATGTCGAATTTAATCGTATTAAAATTGAACCAATCAAATTTGAAATGTCATGTAAAAATAATCTCTAATACTAACTAGATTAGGGGCAGGTGATCTGCCCGTGAGAGTTAGATAACGAATTTGGATTCAAAAAGTCACATTGAGTTAGATTGTATAGTTCAGGTACTAAATTAACACAAAACATAAATGATATAATTAATGGACCAAATAGGTAGTTAACTCCAAGCCGGCACGATGTTTAACACATATGTCAATTTAAACAAATAGTCAATTGTACCGGAGGTCTCCAAAGTATGAGATTTATTTCATTTTGGTCTTTAATATTTTAATTGCATCATTTTGGTCCTTAAAGTATTAAATATGTTTGTATATAATCCTTCAAGCAGACAATGTCTAGATTGTTAACGATTTTTTATTATAAACTTATCACGTAATACTNTACCGTGAGCTTATGAAGTGCGAGGGATGGGTTTCAGTTTCGATTACTTTTCCTTAAGACCTTAGTGTTTTTTTTTGGGCAAATCCTTAGACCTTAGTTGAAGCAATGAATAATTGCAAGGATAACTACTGTGGCTTTTCACATTTTGTACCCCAAAAGATATCTTAGATTTTTATTTTGTACCTTCAAATTTTTTTTTTCCTACATTATACCCTTAATGTCATAAATTAGTTTTAATGTAACCCTCCGACTAATATCTATTTTAGATTCTATTAAACATTTATGCNCTTAAATATAAACAAAAAATATTTTTAATAGTTCTTAAACAAAATTTGAATGACTCTTGAAAAAAAATATGTAATATGGGTAGNCCTAAATATAAACAAAAAATACTTTTGATAGTTCTTAAACAAAATTTGAATGACTCTTGAAAAAAAATATGTAATATGGGTAGCTTTGATCAAAATGTGGATAACTCATGATTAAAACTGTATAATTTGAGTAATTATTTAATCAAAAATTTGAGTAGAAATTTGGTCAAGAATTATTCAAATTATTTTTTTTCCATATTTAAGTATTATGTGACAAATTTATGATAAAAAATNTATCTTTTGAGATACAAAGTACTAAAAACAATAAAATACTATTCAAGAAAATCTTCGTTTGCACTTCGAAAACCCTCAAATATGAGGTTTTTTATAATATATCTTCAATATATTAAAAGCATTTCAATATGACTTTCTATTATCTTTCGCAATTGGGGTTGACATGATGAGTTATAGAAACTAACGGAAGGGCTATGTTGTAACATTTTTAATATATTAAGAGTATAATATAAAAAAATTAAATTTTAAAAGTATAAAGTAAAATTTTTTAAATTTCTTAAGGTATAATGTGAAATTCTCCCATAGTATTCTGCACCTCCAAAGATTTTTTATCTTCTAGGAAATAAATTGAGAAGAGCAAAACTACTTAGATATAATACTAGGAGCTACTATCAATCCAATGATTATGAGTGATTAAGTCAACAAATTAGAGATGAGCCAAATTATTCTTCTCCATCTTGTAATGAGAAAATACCAAGATAAATAACTTAGAGAACAAGTGGCTTCTCTTTATAGGAGCGGTGATAATTGGGTTGTGTTGGATTAAATTCATATTATGTCGAATTTAATCGTATTAAAATTGAACCAATCAAATTTGAAATGTCATGAAAAAATAATCTCTAATACTAACTAGATTAGGGGCAGGTGATCTGCCCGTGAGAGTTAGATAACGAATTTGGATTCAAAAAGTCACATTGAGTTAGATTGTATAGTTCAGGTACTAAATTAACACAAAACATAAATGATATAATTAATGGACCAAATAGGTAGTTAACTCCAAGCCGGCACGATGTTTAACACATATGTCAATTTAAACAAATAGTCAATTGTACCGGAGGTCTCCAAAGTATGAGATTTATTTCATTTTGGTCTTTAATATTTTAATTGCATCATTTTGGTCCTTAAAGTATTAAATATGTTTGTATATAATCCTTCAAGCAGACAATGTCTAGATTGTTAACGATTTTTTATTATAAACTTATCACGTAATACTTAAATATAAACAAAAAATATTTTTAATAGTTCTTAAACAAAATTTGAATGACTCTTGAAAAAAAATATGTAATATGGGTAGCTTTGATCAAAATGTGGATAACTCATGATTAAAACTGTATAATTTGAGTAATTATTTAATCAAAAATTTGAGTAGAAATTTGGTCAAGAATTATTCAAATTATTTTTTTTCCATATTTAAGTATTATGTGACAAATTTATGATAAAAAATTGTTAACAATCTGGATGTTGTCTACTTGAGGGACCATATAGAAACATATTCAATTTCAGGGACCAAAATAATGCAATTAAAATATTAGAGAGCAAAATAAAATAAAACTCATACTTTAGGGACCTTCAGTGCAATTAACCCTTAAACANAATGTTAACAATCTGGATGTTGTCTACTTGAGGGGCCATATAGAAACATATTCAATTTCAGGGACCAAAATAATGCAATTAAAATATTGGAGACCAAAATAAAATAAAACTCATACTTTAGGGACCTTCAGTGCAATTAACCCTTAAACAAACATGTCAAAAACATTTCCTTCAAATCTGTTAATTTCATATTTGGGTTCCAATCATGTGAAAATTCTCACCCATTCTTCATGTTCATTTGTACTTTTAAGTACCAGATTGACAAAACTGCAAAATCACAAAAAGNTAAATTCATATTATGTCGAATTTAATCGTATTAAAATTGAACCAATCAAATTTGAAATGTCATGAAAAAATAATCTCTAATACTAACTAGATTAGGGGCAGGTGATCTGCCCGTGAGAGTTAGATAACGAATTTGGATTCAAAAAGTCACATTGAGTTAGATTGTATAGTTCAGGTACTAAATTAACACAAAACATAAATGATATAATTAATGGACCAAATAGGTAGTTAACTCCAAGCCGGCACGATGTTTAACACATATGTCAATTTAAACAAATAGTCAATTGTACCGGAGGTCTCCAAAGTATGAGATTTATTTCATTTTGGTCTTTAATATTTTAATTGCATCATTTTGGTCCTTAAAGTATTAAATATGTTTGTATATAATCCTTCAAGCAGACAATGTCTAGATTGTTAACGATTTTTTATTATAAACTTATCACGTAATACTTAAATATAAACAAAAAATATTTTTAATAGTTCTTAAACAAAATTTGAATGACTCTTGAAAAAAAATATGTAATATGGGTAGCTTTGATCAAAATGTGGATAACTCATGATTAAAACTGTATAATTTGAGTAATTATTTAATCAAAAATTTGAGTAGAAATTTGGTCAAGAATTATTCAAATTATTTTTTTTCCATATTTAAGTATTATGTGACAAATTTATGATAAAAAATTGTTAACAATCTGGATGTTGTCTACTTGAGGGACCATATAGAAACATATTCAATTTCAGGGACCAAAATAATGCAATTAAAATATTAGAGAGCAAAATAAAATAAAACTCATACTTTAGGGACCTTCAGTGCAATTAACCCTTAAACAAACATGTCAAAAACATTTCCTTCAAATCTGTTAATTTCATATTTGGGTTCCAATCATGTGAAAATTCTCACCCATTCTTCATGTTCATTTGTACTTTTAAGTACCAGATTGACAAAACTGCAAAATCACAAAAAGACAATCTTACAGGTGGAATAGGTGTTAGATGTAATAACAATGGATAATGGTGGAAACATACCTGCCGCAGAGAAAATATTCAACTTTTTTCTATTGATTTTGATCATTTGTTGGACAAGCTGACAAGTGTTTTCCATTCCAAATATTTGTACAGGTGTAATTGTATTTCATTTGACATACTGCTCATGTACTTGTCCACTTACATAGTCTTTCTTTCATCTCAATACAAAATTGCACAGACTCCACAACATCTTACCTGAATTTGTCCCTTGATCTGTTAAGATTTTCCTATAATACAATGAAGCTAGACAGATCTACTGGTATTCTCCGCGAAAATGTTTACTGACGTGACTAATTCTTTCCCATCTCCTTCGGCATCAGTTGCGTTTGAATCGTTTAAATCTCTTCCTTCTTTGAGGTCTGCCCCCTATAAAGGTCTTCACAAACCAGTCATACTTCAACTGGAATATCCAGTTCCCGATAACCACGCCAACGATGCCTCCAGAACCATATCCTAGCACCAAAGCCACCCAAAACCGGTCAAATTTACTTGGGTTGGAAGAGTTCTCCGAGTCAGATTTGGAATCACCTGTTGAGCCAAATAGAGTCTCAGAGCCACAAGGGGGCAAGGGTAGCCCACAAAGACCTGAATTGTTAAGATACCTTGATGGAGGGAATGTGCTCAGCTGACCACTCACTGGAATAAGTCCGGAGAGGTTATTGTTCGACAGATCCAAATCAACGAGGAAAGACAGTATCCCAAGTGACCCGGGGATGTTTCCTTCTAGCTGATTATCTGACAAATCTAGAATTTCAATTACCTTCAGGCCACCTAAACTATATGGAATGTTTCCACTTAACTCGTTTTGTCTCAAGTTCAAGACTTGCAAGTAGGACAGTGAGCCAAGACTAGTGGGAATAGAACCGGATAAGAAATTCTGAGACAAATCGAGGAAGATCATGCTCCCATTGCTTGAGAATGAGTAGATTTTCATACCAGGATACATTCTTGAATCAGTGCAAGTGTCAGCAATAATTCTTGCCAGCCTACCTGCCCTGATCCCATTAAATTCAAGTAGCTCTCCCGCACCTCTACAAGTTTTTCTGTCCTCATTTCTCACAAACACGTACTTCACATTTAAGGGTCTGGGAGAGATAAAACCAGCTTGTTTGGCGAGCACGGTTGGAATGGAACCTGTAAGACTATTGCTGTTTAAATCAAGCCATACTAGGCTTCCACACTCCCCGAGCCTGGGTGGAATCTCGCCAGTAAGCAAGTTGTCATCCAATTGAAGAATTACAAGATTTTGGAGATTCCCAATTCCGGCAGGGATTTTTCCAGTGAGCCGATTGTGGGAGAGGGCCACCCACTTGAGTTCTGTACAGTTGGTAAGTGCAGAAGGAATGGTTCCTTCAATGGAATTGTTGTTGAGAATCAGTGTCTCTAAATCTCCACCACTGGTACAAATGTCTTCTGGGATTTTGCCACTTATATTGTTTCCCCACATGATCAAGTTGGAAAGATTGGGTAAGGTCCAAATTTCTGATGGAATTGTTCCACTTATGTTGTTCAAACTAAAATCAATTGTTCTCAGGTTCTTACATTTTCCAAGTTCTGAAGGCAAGGTCCCTGACAAAAAATTTCCTGCCAGTAGAATGTTCTGCAGAGATGAAGATAATGGCGACAAGCAGAAACCAGACGGGATATTTCCCACCAAGGCATTGGAGCTAAGGTCTAGCACTTCAAGCTGTGAACAGTTGGTAAGAGATAGAGGCACAGAACCACTGATGTTATTGAATGGGATATTAAGGGTTTTCAGGTTTGGGAGGGTACTGATAACTGTTTGAAGGAAGTCCCCAGAGAGTTGATTGTTTCCGAGGTTGATGCTTTGCAAAGAGGAGCATGATACAAATGTCAGAGGTAACCCACCAGAAAGTCTATTTCCAGAAAGATCGAGTTCTTCTAATGTATCACAAATGGAACCCAATCCCAGTGGGATTGCACCGAAAAACTGATTCTGGGCTAAAGACAGATGTCTCAAATTTCTTAACTCACCTAAGACACTCCCTGATATATTGCCTTGGAGGTTATTGTTGGATAGGTCAAGCCTCTCAAGAAGCTGGCAATTTCTTAAGCTTCCAGGAAATGCAGTGCCTTTCCCATATAACGAATTTTGAGTCAGGTTAAGGAGACTTAAACTAGAACAATTCCTGAATTCAAGCTCAGAAAAATTACCCGAANTTTCTTGTGAGATACAAAGTACTAAAAACAATAAAATACTATTCGGGAAAATCTCCGTTTGCACTTTGAAAACCCTCAAATATGAGGTTTTTTATAATATATCCTCAATATATTAAAAGCATTTCAATATGACTTTCTATTATCTTTCGTTGCTTATTTTGTCACCTCATTGGGGTTGACATGATGAATTATAGAAACTAACGGAAGGGCTATGTTGTAACATTTTTAATATATTAAGAGTGTAATATAAAAAAATTAAATTTTAAAAGTATAAAGTAAAATTTTTAAATTTCTTAAGGTATAATGTGAAATTCTCCCATAGTATTCTGCAGCTCCAAAGATTGTTGTATTTTTAATTTATATCTTGAAAGATTGGTGTTCTTATATTGCCTCAATTAAACAAAAGATTACAAAGTGCTCCATTTTAAGAAAATTGGGTTTTTCACTTAAAAACCTAAAATTGAGTATTATAAAAACAATTTTGTATTAAAATAATATAAATATGATAAATAAACAAATTGTCAAAAAAGGCAACGAACATTCACTTTGAACTATATTGTTACATTTTTATCTGGTTAAGGGCATAATATGAGATTTTTTATCTTCTAGGAAATAAATTGAGAAGAGCAAAACTACTTAGATATAATACTAGGAGCTACTATCAATCTAATGATTATGAGTGATTAGGTCAACAAATTAGAGATGAGCCAAATTATTCTTCTCCATCTTGTAATGAGAAAATACCAAGATAAATAACTTAGAGAACAAGTGGCTTCTCTTTATAGGAGCGGTGATAATTGGGTTGTGTTGGATTGAATTCATATTATGTCGAATTTAATCGTATTAAAATTGAACCAATCAAATTTGAAATGTCATGTAAAAATAATCTCTANCATTCTTTCTGTGATCTCCAAGTCCAACCTACTCCTATCATTTTCGAGGAGAAAATGATTTAGTAGCTGTGTGTGCAACTGTCTGGATACTTTATGCTTGGCTCGTTTAAATAATGCATGCGTGTTTGACNTGAATTCATATTATGTCGAATTTAATCGTATTAAAATTGAACCAATCAAATTTGAAATGTCATGTAAAAATAATCTCTAATACTAACTAGATTAGGGGCAGGTGATCTGCCCGTGAGAGTTAGATAACGAATTTGGATTCAAAAAGTCACATTGAGTTAGATTGTATAGTTCAGGTACTAAATTAACACAAAACATAAATGATATAATTAATGGACCAAATAGGTAGTTAACTCCAAGCCGGCACGATGTTTAACACATATGTCAATTTAAACAAATAGTCAATTGTACCGGAGGTCTCCAAAGTATGAGATTTATTTCATTTTGGTCTTTAATATTTTAATTGCATCATTTTGGTCCTTAAAGTATTAAATATGTTTGTATATAATCCTTCAAGCAGACAATGTCTAGATTGTTAACGATTTTTTATTATAAACTTATCACGTAATACTTAAATATAAACAAAAAATATTTTTAATAGTTCTTAAACAAAATTTGAATGACTCTTGAAAAAAAATATGTAATATGGGTAGCTTTGATCAAAATGTGGATAACTCATGATTAAAACTGTATAATTTGAGTAATTATTTAATCAAAAATTTGAGTAGAAATTTGGTCAAGAATTATTCAAATTATTTTTTTTCCATATTTAAGTATTATGTGACAAATTTATGATAAAAAATTGTTAACAATCTGGATGTTGTCTACTTGAGGGACCATATAGAAACATATTCAATTTCAGGGACCAAAATAATGCAATTAAAATATTAGAGAGCAAAATAAAATAAAACTCATACTTTAGGGACCTTCAGTGCAATTAACCCTTAAACAAACATGTCAAAAACATTTCCTTCAAATCTGTTAATTTCATATTTGGGTTCCAATCATGTGAAAATTCTCACCCATTCTTCATGTTCATTTGTACTTTTAAGTACCAGATTGACAAAACTGCAAAATCACAAAAAGACAATCTTACAGGTGGAATAGGTGTTAGATGTANACCATCTAAGTCAATTCTAAATTGCTATCAATTCATAACATTAAAGGTGCAAGTGAGATTAGTAACCCTAAAATCTTTAGGTTAACTTGAAACATATAATTTGAAAGTCTTAAAAATCGATACCACTAAAACAAATAATATTTTTTTGGCTTTTATTCTGATTACATAATTTGAAATCAATTTTTACTAATAATTTTTTTTTTTAAAAATCGACAAAATTTTGTTAAAATGCATGACCTCCAAAAAAATAGCAATATGTGTCCAGTATATGTNTTATTTTTTTTAAAAAAAATCGACAAAATTTTGTTAAAATGCATGACCTCCAAAAAATAGCAATATGTGTCCGGTATATGTTATCATATATGAATAATGTCTAAAAATATCAATGGACCTTTGGTCCAATAGTATTCCTTATCTTGTCACAAGATTTTGTCTTGTTAAGGTCAAGAGTTCNGACCGTCTAAGTCAATTCCAAATTGCTATCAATTCATAACATTAAAGGTGCAAGTGAGATTAGTAACCCTAAAATCTTTAGGCTAACTTGAAACATATAATTTGAAAGTCTTAAAAATCGATACCACTAAAACAAATAATATTTTTTTGGCTTTTATTCTGATTACATAATTTGAAATCAATTTTTACTAATAATTTTTTTTTTTAAAAATCGACAAAATTTTGTTAAAATGCATGACCTCCAAAAAAATAGCAATATGTGTCCAGTATATGTTATCATATATGAATAATGTCTAAAAATATCAATGGACCTTTGGTCCAATAGTATTCCTTATCTTGTCACAAGATTTTGTCTTGCTAAGGTCAAGAGTTCAAGTCCCCCTTCTCCTTCTCCTTTCAAAAAATAAATAAATAATGTCTAAAATAAAAATTATATTGAACTATAAATTAATTCAACTTAGGACAGAAATAGATGCTGTGATAGAAATGAACGAAAAAAGATATATGAAAATAAGAACCAAACGTTTACGGTTTACCTCTCTTANTAATTTTTTTTTTTAAAAATCGACAAAATTTTGTTAAAATGCATGACCTCCAAAAAAATAGCAATATGTGTCCAGTATATGTTATCATATATGAATAATGTCTAAAAATATCAATGGACCTTTGGTCCAATAGTATTCCTTATCTTGTCACAAGATTTTGTCTTGTTAAGGTCAAGAGTTCAAGTCCCCCTTCTCCTTCTCCGTCCCAAAAAAAAAAAAAATAATGTCTAAAATAAAAATTATATTGAACTATAAATTAATTCAACTGAGGACAGAAATAGATGCTGTGATAGAAATGAACGAAAAAAGATATATGAAAATAAGAACCAAACGTTTACGGTTTACCTCTCTTATTATATAGGTTGAACTCTCTCAACACCTAAGACCAACTCAAATTGAGTTTCAACACGAACCTTTCAATCCAAGTATTGCACTTGTTTAAATTTTTAAATAGGGTTACAAATTACACATTCTTAACCGAAATTTGGGTTAAATTCGGATTTTCATATGGGTTGCCCGATCACTTCACATCTTTTACTCAAGATTTAAATTGTTCATTCACACAATTCTGCAAACACCTTGTACCCAACATTCNTCAACTGAGGACAGAAATAGATGCTGTGATAGAAATGAACGAAAAAAGATATATGAAAATAAGAACCAAACGTTTACGGTTTACCTCTCTTATTATATAGGTTGAACTCTCTCAACACCTAAGACCAACTCAAATAGAGTTTCAACACGAACCTTTCGATCCAAGTATTGCACTTGTTTAAATTTTTAAAGAGGGTTACAAATTACACATTCTTAACCGAAATTTGGGTTAAATTCGGATTTTCATATGGGTTGCCCGATCACTTCACATCTTTTACTCAAGATTTAAATTGTTCATTCACACAATTCTGCAAACACCTTGTACCCAACATTCCAAACAACACATAAAGAGTCTCATAAATGCATAATGTTACCTCAGTTGTGAGGTATCTGTTGGACTGCCGAAGATTTTTTCATGTTCTTGAGATCATCCATCTGTAAGCGATCAACTAGACCACCATTGCTAAGGTCGAGAGCTGTAACATCGCCATCATTAAAAGAGCAGGTGACACATTGCCAGGGGCATGAATGTGAAGAACCAGAATGGTCTCGGTGGTTCAAGAAGCCATTGGGATTCAACCTTGAAGAGCTCTGCTTGAAAGCCAGTAATGCTTCGGCCTAAATTTAACTTCTCATCCAATATTAATATACTAACAATAATTTTGTGGCCGAAGATATCCTGTAATATGAAAAATTGAATATTGATCTTGTAATATTTATATTTTAAATAATAATTTATTTTTTTCTTTTAATTATGTTATTTAAAATTTAAAAAAAAACACATAAAAAATAAGAGAGAGAAAGATGAGTTAATAAGGTGTGAATTAGTGAACGTTAGAAAATGTTGGTTGAGTTGATATTTTTGAGATTTAGAGAAAATAAAAATTATATCAATATTGACCGTCGTTGTACTTCTATAAATTGNGAACTCTCTCAACACCTAAGACCAACTCAAATAGAGTTTCAACACGAACCTTTCGATCCAAGTATTGCACTTGTTTAAATTTTTAAAGAGGGTTACAAATTACACATTCTTAACCGAAATTTGGGTTAAATTCGGATTTTCATATGGGTTGCCCGATCACTTCACATCTTTTACTCAAGATTTAAATTGTTCATTCACACAATTCTGCAAACACCTTGTACCCAACATTCCAAACAACACATAAAGAGTCTCATAAATGCATAATGTTACCTCAGTTGTGAGGTATCTGTTGGACTGCCGAAGATTTTTTCATGTTCTTGAGATCATCCATCTGTAAGCGATCAACTAGACCACCATTGCTAAGGTCGAGAGCTGTAACATCGCCATCATTAAAAGAGCAGGTGACACATTGCCAGGGGCATGAATGTGAAGAACCAGAATGGTCTCGGTGGTTCAAGAAGCCATTGGGATTCAACCTTGAAGAGCTCTGCTTGAAAGCCAGTAATGCTTCGGCCTAAATTTAACTTCTCATCCAATATTAATATACTAACAATAATTTTGTGGCCGAAGATATCCTGTAATATGAAAAATTGAATATTGATCTTGTAATATTTATATTTTAAATAATAATTTATTTTTTTCTTTTAATTATGTTATTTAAAATTTAAAAAAAAACACATAAAAAATAAGAGAGAGAAAGATGAGTTAATAAGGTGTGAATTAGTGAACGTTAGAGAATGTTGGTTGAGTTGATATTTTTGAGATTTAGAGAAAATAAAAATTATATCAATATTGACCGTCGTTGTACTTCTATAAATTGACAATTCAATTTTCTAGTTGTAATATTAGATAGATAAATAATCATATTACTTGAATCAAATTTATCAATCATATGTAGTATTGTCTTTTTTTTTTTATTCAATAGTCAAAAATATTTGTATCAATTTATGTGTACAAATAAATAAACAAGTGAACTCTATAAAATTTAATAACCACTTATTCATGTAAAAAAATATAATTTATTTTTTTATTTTTTTAACTCGACTATTGAGTAAAATGACCAGGAGTGTTAACCAAAACAAGTTACTCGAGTTCGGCTCGGGCTCGGTTCAAATAAGACTCGACTTGAGTTCGACTCGTATTCTAAACAAGTTGAATTTGAATAATTTTTTTGACTCATTTAAAAAAATAAACTCAAAAAATTGGCTTATGCTCACAAAAATTAATTCGTTTATATGTAAAATAATTAAACGTGAAAATTGAGAATTAGTCTCCCTAGATAGAGTTATAATGACTTGAGTATAGAAAGAAAACTTATTTGGGGGTAAGTCCATGTTTAAACTTCTATCTAGGTATTTAAATTCATTTATTTTTTAAATTTTAAAATTACCCCTAACAATGTTAGTTTTGTTCAATTATAGAAAGTTACATAAGTTAGAATATTGAAGTATATATGGAAACCTTTGATTAAGTTATATATAAAAATCGTTTATTAAATATTTATGATAATTAACTAAAATTTCATATGAAAGTTATATATTTGTTATTTATATATGGAAAACTTAATGTATGAATAAATTGTTGGTTTATTAAATCAAAATTAGTTCACAAAATTTCTTTAACAATAGCAATGCATAATATAGGGAGGTTGAATAATGTCAACAGAGTTCAATAATACGAATGTTAATATATAGTAACATTCATGTTATTATATGATTGAAGTTATAATTAGGATCGTGTTATTAGTACAGTCGTGTTACTATATTGACACTAATATTATTATAATAAATTTTAACATACAATTGCAAATTTTGAGACGTATATTATGTAACATACACTTTAATATTCACAGTAACATTAAAGTTTTGTACTTAGTAACACATATAATTTTATAAAATACAAGACAATAGTTTTTTTATAGTAACATCAATTTTTCGAATGATTTTAGTGAAAATACGATCCACAAATTGAAAATTTACAAAATGACGAGTAGTAACACACAATCGATAGTTGAACACTCAACACCAATTGTGAACATCAAGATATCAAAATTTTGATATTCATTTTTCAGTTCACGTACAATAACATGAATTTTTTTTTCAGTAACACAACTAAGGAATACTCGATTGTTTTGTGCAACAAAAAAATCAACAAAATTGAAATCTATAATACTTTAATTTAGTACTAATGTATAAGTTTTTTTGAATCTTGGTTACAAGGTTAATGCCAACTTTGACAGAATTACAGCTATAATTTTTATTACTTGTTTATTATGTTACTATTTTTTTGTGAGTATGTTATTATTATTTTAGTAACCATGTTACTGTTTTTATTAAGTATATTATTATTATTATTTTTTAAATATTAATATTTAATATTAATATTTTGTCAATGTAATCCAAAATAAACTGGAATAGTAAATTGAAATTGTATTTCATTGAATGTTATGAGTTTGAAATTTGAATATGAATGATTTTTAATAAATGCTATTTTTTTGTTTTTTGGATAAAGAAATTTTGTGGCTCGGAAGATTGTAACTAGATTTGAAGGCGATTATGAAGGAGATATATATAACTGATTATTATGTTTATAAATGTCATTTATAACATTCTTACGGGAAAGAGTTATAATAGTAAAATTGACAAAAAATGAACTTAAAACCAAATAAATTTGCTTGACGGACTTATTTCTAAATAAGTCCATATAAGGGAATCGGCCTTCAAATTTTTCTAATTAAATTATTTAGGTTTAGCCCAAATTTAAGCCTAATTCAAGTTCTAAATAATTCGAGTTTGAAATTTTTTATTTTTTTTTGCCTGGGCTCATGACCCACGGTGTAACCGTCACATTCCTTATTTGGTCGAACTTTGGGCCCAAAGTTCTCATGTGAAAGATCAACAGACACTAACTGTTCTATGTTTCTTGGCGCCATTCTATCCACTGAGACGGTGAGACACCAATTTTCTCTCTCTCTCTCTCTCTTCTTCAACACAGCGGCTAATCGAGCCACCGGTGAGAGATGATGCTCACCACCGTTTTAGCCGGTGGTTCGACAATGGGGTTCCGACCCACCACGGAAGGGAAATCCTCACGACGTTTCAGAGTCTTTGCCGATGGCTTTCGGAGTTTTATTCCCAAAGAAGTGGAGAAAATCAAAGACCCATATGCTCGAATGTTGGCCACAAGGATTGACAGGCTGCCTGTGCACGTAAACTCTTATCATCTCTTCAATTTTTACTCTGATCTATGTTTAACTTTAATCTCCTGTCATGTTCATCTCTTTGATTAGGTGGAATTGAATGAAAGTAACAGTTTTGAGATTGATGCTTGCCATTGCTCATAAAAAATTACCTCTTTTTTTCGGAAGGTATAAAAAATTACCTCAGTACTTACACTTTTCTCTGTTTTGAGGTTAGCCATCACCTTAACCCTAGTTCAAGTGGTAACTGGGATGAGTTATAACTCTAGACATCGAGAGTTCGAATCTTAGTAATTTCTTGACCTATACCATAAGGGAGTTATTCCTCTTGAATATCTTAATCACGGGTGTAGATGTACTGCTTTAGCTAGCACCTTCTCTTGTTAATGGTCGCATGTCATTTAGATTTTGGAGTTCAAGGCACTCTGAGATCTCAGAGTCGGTTCATCACCTCATGTAGGACAGGAGTAAAATTGGATTAAGTGAAAGTTGGTGATACGTTTATGGGCTAATTCTTCTAGCTTTTATCAAATTACATCTAAGTCTTGCTATATCATCTAAAGAACATTGATCATTTGTTGTCACATTGCATTTATAAGAAGGGTTGCTACCACTCCCTATAAATTGCAAAATTGCCTCGACTGATAATATTTTGCCAGATAGAAACCGGTGAACTTGGAGCATTGTTGGAGTTTCTAGTCAACCATACTTGTTTCCTCATGTTACCCCAATTATCAATCTTATTTTGGGGATTATGGCCTATTGCCCATCTGATCAAGTCAGGTCTATGCGGGCATTGCAGGTTAGCTTCTCAGAGAGTTGTATCACGAGCAGTTGTGTGAAGCCCGTGATACAGGTCAAAACAAATCCAGTGGTTCTTCTGCATGGTTTTGACAGGTCTGTATTAGGTAAAATTTTTACCATTGTTTTCGAGAACACTGCTTCTCGTGAGTTTCTCTAGTTCATTACTTCTTATTCTTCAGCTCCTGTTTAGAATGGAGATACACACTTCCATTGCTTGAGGAGGCTGGTTTGGAGACCTGGGCTGTCGACATGCTTGGGTGGGGCTTTTCCGACTTAGGTTTGTCTTGTACATCTTGTTTCCATTCTTTCGATTTGGAACAGGGGCTAATGGTTGCTTTATTGTTTACTATCTTGTTCATGTTATCATTTTTCTTTTTGGATGGATTAGGAATGCTTCCTTCGTGCAGTGTGGCTTCCAAGCGTGATCACCTTTACCAGGTCCTTAGCTCTCTCTTACTTGAAGGACATCTTTTCTCCTTGGCTTGTAGATATGAATGTAACTAATCATGTTTTTATTGAAATCGAAGAGCTTTTGATGAAATATAAAGAACAGAAATGGCATAAGATGGTTGGTATCTAAGTGGCCTTTGCTTTTTTGCATACGTCCATTTGAGGACTACATCTTCAATTTCTCTTTTCAATGTTATTAATCAAATAATCAAGGTGGGGGTCTTGTGCTCCTCCCTTGGGTACTTGGTAGGGTTTGATGGACACATCAACAATTTGTTTGCAGAGATAACTATCCCAATAATTGGTGATTGTGCTGATTTGATATTGTTATGCTTCTCTTAGTTCTGGAAGTCACATATTGAAAAGCCAGTGATATTAGTTGGACCAAGCCTTGAAGCAGCCGTTGCAATCGACTTTGTACTCAACCACCCAGAAGCTGTAAGTGTTTTCCAAGTTCATGAAATACATTTGCAGACATTATGGGTCATAATAAGACTGATATAAAGTTTTACTTTTTGTTCCAATGGTGTAGTTTTAAATTTGTGCTTTTCATTTCAGGTTGATAAGCTGATTTTGATTGATGCCAGTGTTTATGCAGAAGGAACAGGAAACCTGGCAAAATTACCTAAAGCAGCTGCCTATGCTGGGGTGAGAATGTTTTCAGATTTCTTAAAATGCTGTTGATGAATTGTGATGCCTAATTTGTTTTTTTTATTTTTTTTGGGTTTTACGTAGACAGATTTGACCAAATCTTAACTTCGTACGTGGATGTGGTGATCTATGCCTATCACTCGAAATCTTACACTCCATAGTGTGTTCCTTTTGGACACCAAATCCTATTCATACTTTGTCAATGTCTTACCATGGTCCTCTGTTGGGCAGGTCTCACTGTTAAAGAGCACTCCCCTGCGCTTGTATGCAACTTTTTTGGCTTTCAATGGTCTTTCATTCAAAACTTGCTTAGACTGGATGAATGTGAGTGTCAGCAAGTTTATGTTCTTGCAATAGAAACTAATGCAGGGTTTGACAGTTTACAGTTTTTTTAAATAAACTTTTCATGTTGCTTGGTCATTTAAATAACCTTCCTGTATTAATCTCTTAGGTTGGCCGTCTACATTGCCTGTTACTTTGGTGGGACAATGCAACTATGGATCTATGAATAGTGGGGGTTATAATGTCAGTGCCCAGACAGGACAGGTATACTCATACTTGTTTTGCCATTCCATTTGACAAGCAACGCAAAGTGTTTGCATATTCCAGGTATACAGTTGGAGAGGAGAAAAAAAAAAATTCAAAAGCTTATATATGGCAAAGTCCTGCACATAGCGCTTAATGGCTGATACAACTGTTTTTGCACTACATGTCATACTCTGCTCTTCTCATGCCAATGCTCTTGAATACTTTTGCTGTCTATTCATTTAATATAGGTTGTCAAATTTATTTAATATTTTTATTTGAAATCATCTGACTTGCACATGGCTAACTTCCGCCATTTTTCACTGCCAAAATTAACGGCTTGGGTTAATTGAAGCATATTGAAACTTTGAGGTGATAATTTGTTGAAATTAAAAAGAGAGGAAGTTGATTGCACATGACTTAAAATTGGGAGGGGATTTTCTGTTATTAACCCAAAATTTATAATATATAAAGATATTAATTTTGAATGATACATGTGTCATTTTCTTGTCAAGATCACAGTTTTGATGGCTAACTACCTATTTAGTTCTTGAATTATACTATTTTGTGTCAATCAAGCGTTTGAATTATGTTTTTGTATCAATTTAGCCTCTGAACTATGCAATCTAACTCAATATAATCATTCCATCCAAATTTGCGGTTACCTTTGATGGAAACTTTGCATGCAGACACGTGGCCCCTAATCTCTGACTCACGTAATGTGCACGAGGATTTTTGTCAAAGTTAATAGCAAATGTGGACAAAAGAGACACATTGAGTTCAATTGCATAGTTTAGGGGGCTAAATTAACACAAAACATAGTTTAAGAACTTAATTGATACAACTGATGTAATTCAGGGGCCAAATAGGTAGTTAACTCCATTAACAATCTCAAATCCAAGCAGGCACTATGTTTAATACATATGCCAATTTAAACAAACATGACAAAACATTTACTTCAAATCTGTTAATGTCAAATTTGGGTTCCAATAATGTGAAAATTCTCACCCATGCTTCATGTTCATTTGTACTTGGGGAGGAGTTAATCAGATTAGAACTTTTTAATACTAAGTACCAGATTGACAAAACTGCAAAATCACATATGCTGCCTACATGTTTCAATACAAAAGACAATCTTACAGGTGGGATAGATGTTAGATATAATAACAATGGATAATGGTGAAAACATACCTGCTGCTGAGTCCACAACATCTTACATGAAATTGACCCTTGATCTGTTAAGATTTTCCTATAATACAACGAAGGTAGACAGATCCACTGGTATTGTCTGCGAAAATGTTTATTGACATGACTAATTCTTTCTCATCTCCTTCAGCATCAGTTGCGTTTGAATCGTTTAAATCTCTTCCTTCTTTGAGGTCTGCCCCCTATAAAGGTCTTCACAAACAAGTCATACTTCAACTGGAATATCCAGTTCCCGATAACCACGCCAACGATGCCTCCAGAACCATATCCTAGCACCAAAGCCACCCAAAACCGGTCAAATTTACTTGGGTTGGAAGAGTTCTCCGAGTCAGATTTGGAATCACCTGTTGAGCCAAATAGAGTCTCAGAGCCACAAGGGGGCAAGGGTAGCCCACAAAGACCTGAATTGTTAAGATACCTTGATGGACGGAATGTGCTCAGCTGACCACTCACTGGAATAAGTCCGGAGAGGTTATTGTTCGACAGATCCAAATCAACGAGGAAAGACAGTATCCCAAGTGACCCGGGGATGTTTCCTTCTAGCTGATTATCTGACAAATCTAGAATTTCAATTACCTTCAGGCCACCTAAACTATATGGAATGTTTCCACTTAACTCGTTTTGTCTCAAGTTCAAGACTTGCAAGTAGGACAGTGAGCCAAGACTAGTGGGAATAGAACCGGATAAGAAATTCTGAGACAAATCGAGGAAGATCATGCTCCCATTGCTTGAGAATGAGTAGATTTTCATACCAGGATACATTCTTGAATCAGTGCAAGTGTCAGCAATAATTCTTGCCAGCCTACCTGCCCTGATCCCATTAAATTCAAGTAGCTCTCCCGCACCTCTACAAGTTTTTCTGTCCTCATTTGTCACAAACACGTACTTCACATTTAAGGGTCTGGGAGAGATAAAACCAGCTTGTTTGGCGAGCACGGTTGGAATGGAACCTGTAAGACTATTGCTGTTTAAATCAAGCCATACTAGGCTTCCACACTCCCCGAGCCTGGGTGGAATCTCGCCAGTAAGCAAGTTGTCATCCAATTGAAGAATTACAAGATTTTGGAGATTCCCAATTCCGGCAGGGATTTTTCCAGTGAGCCGATTGTGGGAGAGGGCCACCCACTTGAGTTCTGTACAGTTGGTAAGTGCAGAAGGAATGGTTCCTTCAATGGAATTGTTGTTGAGAATCAGTGTCTCTAAATCTCCACCACTGGTACAAATGTCTTCTGGGATTTTGCCACTTATATTGTTTCCCCACATGATCAAGTTGGAAAGATTGGGTAAGGTCCAAATTTCTGATGGAATTGTTCCACTTATGTTGTTCAAACTAAAATCAATTGTTCTCAGGTTCTTACATTTTCCAAGTTCTGAAGGCAAGGTCCCTGACAAAAAATTTCCTGCCAGTAGAATGTTCTGCAGAGATGAAGATAATGGCGACGAGCAGAAACCAGACGGGATATTTCCCACCAAGGCATTGGAGCTAAGGTCTAGCACTTCAAGCTGTGAACAGTTGGTAAGAGATAGAGGCACAGAACCACTGATGTTATTGAATGGGATATTAAGGGTTTTCAGGTTTGGGAGGGTACTGATAACTGTTTGAAGGAAGTCCCCAGAGAGTTGATTGTTTCCGAGGTTGATGCTTTGCAAAGAGGAGCATGATACAAATGTCAGAGGTAACCCACCAGAAAGTCTATTTCCAGAAAGATCGAGTTCTTCTAATGTATCACAAATGGAACCCAATCCCAGTGGGATTGCACCGAAAAACTGATTCTGGGCTAAAGACAGATGTCTCAAATTCCTTAACTCACCTAAGACACTCCCTGATATATTGCCTTGGAGGTTATTGTTGGATAGGTCAAGCCTCTCAAGAAGCTGGCAATTTCTTAAGCTTCCAGGAAATGCAGTGCCTTTCCCATATAACGAATTTTGAGTCAGGTTAAGGAGACTTAAACTAGAACAATTCCTGAATTCAAGCTCAGAAAAATTACCCGAAATGTTGTTGTTAGAGAGATCAAGAAACTTGAGAGAATCAGCTATAAGACCTGTTGGGAGAACCCCAGATAATGCATTGTAAGAGAGGTCAAGAACTGAAAGATTCTTGCAAGAGGAGAGGCTGCCAAGTCTCCCAGTTAGTCTGTTGCCAGAGAAATTGAGCAGATTCAAGTTTTGGCAATTCATAATCGAGTAATTCAAGGTCGAAAAATCTGAAATCAGATTGCTAGAGAGATCAAGCTCCAGCAGTGAAGCGCCAAATTTCAGACTCGCCCCAGGAATCAAATTGTGGGAAAGATTCAGAGAAGTTAACCGATCGCAAGCCACTAGCACTCCATCAGAGATGCTTTCTGACAGGTTATTGAATGACAAATCGAGCGCCTCAAGTACACAGGGAGAAGAAGAAACTGTATTGTTGAAATATAGATCCCCTGAGAAATAGTTCCCATGTAAGTCAACATGCCGGAGATTTTCAATGTTCAAGAGATCACTCATCTGTAATTGACCGATTAGACCGCCGTTTCTGAAATTGAGATCTGTAACATGGGCATTAAAAGAGCAGATGACACCTTTCCAGGAGCATGGATTTGAAGAAACGGAATAGTCCCAGCTGTTCAATAAGCCATTGGGATCAACCTTAACAGAGCTGTTCTTGAAAGCTAGTAATGCTTGTGCTTGAATATTCAGACTCTGTTGCTTTGAGGCCATTGAAACCAACCTGTTAGCCTCCAAACCCATGCTGAATCTGGACAAGAAAAGGAAGAAAATAATATAAAAGACTTGCAGCCATTCTTTCTGTGGTCTCCAAATCCAACCTCTTCCTATCATTTTTGAGGAGAACATGATTTAGTAGCTGTCTGGATACTTTATGCTTGGCTCGTTTGACTAATGCATACGTGTTTGACCCGAACACTAAACACAGGATATTAAAATCTTAAGCTAATCTCACTTTGCAGTTTCGTTTCTCAATTTACACCCTAAATGTTATGAATTTGTTTTAATGTACACCTCGCCGCCCGCCTTTAATTTTTAGTCATAAATTGAAGTACATGAATTGTAAGTGCTTCATACATAGACTTATATATAAATTTATATATTGTTGATGCCTCATATGAGTTTCATATGATAGGATTAGTTTATCAGAATAATAAAACCTCTATTTTTGATAAATAAAACGGTGTCAAATTGATGAAAGACGAAGATTTGAAAAGATGAACATACTTCATCATCATATTCGAAACATTTGCATCTTAGGTGGTTCAATTTATAACGAAAAATTGAATGATAGTCTTGATCAATTCCACATTGCTACCAATTCATAACATTGAATGTGCAAGTATAATTAGTCCTAACATCTTGTGGCTAAATTGAAACATAAAATTCGAAAATCTTAAAAATTGATACCACTAAATCAATTTATGTTTTTTTTTTCTTTTATTTTGATTGCATAATTTGAAATCAATTTCTACTAATTATTTTTTTTAAAAAATTTGACAAAATTTTGTTAAAATGCGTGACATCCAAAAAATAGCAATACGTGTACGGTGTATGTAAAATAACGTCTGAAATAAAAATTATATTGAATAATAAATTAATAAAAAATTAAATAATTCAATTTGGGACAGACCCGAACTCTTCATTCCAAATATTGCCCTTGTTTAAATTTTTAAAGGGGGTTACAAATTGCAGATTCTTAACTGAAATATGGGTTAAATTCGGTTTTCCATCTGGGTTGCCCGATACTTCACATCTTATACTCTAGATTTTAAACAGGTCATTTACACAATTCTGCAAACACCTTGTACTCAACATTTCAAACAACACATAAAGAGTTCCATACATGCATAATGTTACCTCAGTTGTGAGGTATCTGTTGGGCTGCCGAAGATTTTTTCATGTTCGTGAGATCATCCATCTGTAAGCGATCAACTAGACCACCATTACCGGATTAAAAGAGCAGGTGACACATTGCCAGGGGCATGAATGTGAAGAACCAGAGTGGTCTCAGTGGTTCAAGAAGCCATTGGGATCAACCTTGACAGAGCTCTGCTTGAAAGCCAGTAATGCTTCGGCCTAATTCAACTTCTCATCAAATATTAGTAAACTAAGAATTATTTTGTACCTAAACATACTTTGTAATACAAAAAAAATTAAATATTAATTGTGCAATATATATAAGCAATTCGATGCCCCATGTCTTTATTGAGAAAAGAAAGTTAAAACTCAATCACATCTAATCATTCATTGAAATCTAGGACGTCTCTTTTAAGGGCCTAAACTAGGCAGAACAACAATCAAAACAACAGATTAGCCCTCAAGTTTTTGTATTGGAAGCATTCATTTTAGAGATGGCCAGATCATCCTACTTTCGGTTCTAGATTGAAAGTAGAGATCTTCCCTAGGTGCTAATTCTATGATTGAAAAGTTGATGAATATGCTAATCCAGAAGAAGGAAAAGCAGACACAAGCAAGACGAGACGCATCCCAAAATTAATGAAACTAGAGCAATTGTGAGGAGTAGTCATTCCAGAATAATCAGGATTGGTTCATTCTTTGATTGCTCTGCTCCCCCCAAAAAAAGAGACATGTTCTTGCTCTCTCAATTCAGGAAGATGGGAATCGCCGATTGGGTTAGTCCAACCAAGAAAGGTATGAGAGTTTTTGGACAGTGTTGGGGGTTAAGTCAAGCTTGGGCTAAATTAAGCAAGGACAGTGTTGAGTTTTTGCACAATTTATATATATTTGTCTCCATCCAATCAAAGACATCCATATCATTGAGAATTAGACTCGCCAAAAATGAGACTAAGACCATAAACCCCCTCGTCATTTTAAATAATAATTTATTTATTTTCTTTAATTATATAATTTACAATTAAAGTAACACAAAAAAACAAATAAGAGAAAGAAAGAATAGTTAAAAGAGAGAACTAGATCTGGATTAGAGAAATTATCCCACATTTAGAGTATGTTGGTTGAGTTGATATTTTTAAGCAGAAAAAAATATTCAAAGTCGATAAAAATTAAATCAATCTTAATTGTCATTATGCTTCTATAATTTTTTTTTATCAGGAGCGCATATATAAGTAAAAAATTTTACTTTCTAACTGTAATACTAAATATGTAAATAACTATATTATTTGAACCAAATTTAAGTGAGCTCATAAAATTTAATAATCACTTATCCCCGTAATTTATAATCAATTTTATGTAAAAAAAAAAATTATAATTTATTTATTTATTTTTCTAACTCATAACATGACGCTGAGGTGGTGTAATCATCGCATTCAATATTTACTCGAACCTTGGGCCCGAAGTTCTCATGTGAAAGATCAACCAACACAACTGTTCTATGTTTCTTGGCGCCATTCTATCCACTGAGACGGTGAGACACCAATTTTCTCTCTCTTTCTCTTCTCCAACACAGCGGCCAGTCGAGCCATCGGTGAGAGATGATGCTCAACACCGTTTTAGCCGGTGGTTCGCCAACGGGGTTCCGACCCACCACGGAAGGGAAGTCCTCACGGCGTTTCAGAGTCTTTGCCGATGGCTTTCCGAGTTTTATTCCCAAAGAAGTGGAGAAAATCAAAGACCCATTTGCTCGAAAGTTGGCCACAAGGATTGAGAGGCTGCCTGTGCACGTAAACTCTTATTATCTCTTCAATTTTTACTCTAATCCATGTTTAACTTTAATTGGGATTAAGCTTGCCCAATGGTTAATCTCTATCTCTTGTCATGTTCATCTATTTGATTAGGTGGAATTGAAAGAAAGTAACAGTTTTGAGATTGATGCTTGCCATTGCTCATAAAAAATTACCTCACTACTTACACTTTTCTCTGTTTCGAGGTTGAGGGGTAACATGGACGAGTTATAAATCTAGTACCCTGAGTTCGAATCTTAGTAACTCCTTGACCCCATACCCCATACCATGAGGGAGTTATTCCTCGGGAATATCCTAATCCCGGGTGTAGATGGACTGCTTTGGTTGTACCTTCTATTGTTAATTGTCCCATGTCATTTAGATTTTGGAGTTCAAGGCACTCTGAGATCTCAGAGTCGGTTCATCNTTCTTTTATTTTGATTGCATAATTTGAAATCAATTTCTACTAATTATTTTTTTTAAAAAATTTGACAAAATTTTGTTAAAATGCGTGACATCCAAAAAATAGCAATACGTNTCTTTTATTTTGATTGCATAATTTGAAATCAATTTCTACTAATTATTTTTTTAAAAAAATTTGACAAAATTTTGTTAAAATGCGTGACATCCAAAAAATAGCAATACGTGTACGGTGTATGTAAAATAACGTCTGAAATAAAAATTATATTGAATAATAAATTAATAAAAAATTAAATNTTTATCTTTTATCAAATTACATCTAAGTCTTGCTATATCATCTAAAGAACATTGATCATTTGTTGTCACATTGCATGTATAAGAAGGGTTGCTACCACTCCCTATGAATTGCAAAATTGCCTCGTCTGATAATATTTTGCCAGATAGAAACCGGTGAACTTGGAGCATTGTTGGAGTTTCTAGTCAACCATACTTGTTTCCTCATGTTACCCCAATTATCAATCTTATTTTGGGGATTATGGCCTATTGCCCATCTGATCAAGTCAGGTCTATGTGGGCATTGCAGGTTAGCTTCTCAGAGAGTTGTATCATGAGCAGTTGTGTGAAGCCCGTGATACAGGTCAAAACAAATCCAGTGGTTCTTCTACATGGTTTTGACAGGTCTGTATTAGGTGAAATTTTCACCATTGTTTTCGAGAACACTGCTTCTCGCGAGTTTCTTTAGTTCATTACTTCTTATTCTTCAGCTCCTGTTTAGAATGGAGATACACACTTCCATTGCTTGAGGAGGCTGGTTTGGAGACCTGGGCTGTCGACATTCTTGGGTGGGGCTTTTCCGACTTAGGTTTGTCTTGTACATCTTGTTTCCATTCTTTCATTTGGAACAGGGGCTAATGGTTGCTTTATTGTTTACTATCTTGTTCATGTTATCATTTTTCTTTTTGGATGGATTAGGAATGCTTCCTTCGTGTAGTGTGGCTTCCAAGCGTGATCACCTTTACCAGGTCCTTNCCATTCTTTGATTTGGAACAGGGGCTAATGGTTGCTTTATTGTTTACTATCTTGTTCATGTTATCATTTTTCTTTTTGGATGGATTAGGAATGCTTCCTTCGTGTAGTGTGGCTTCCAAGCGTGATCACCTTTACCAGGTCCTTAGCTCTCTCTTACTTNCTATTCTTTGATTTGGAACAGGGGCTAATGGTTGCTTTACTGTTTACTATCTTGTTCATGTTATCATTTTTCTTTTTGGATGGATTAGGAATGCTTCCTTCGTGTAGTGTGGCTTCCAAGCGTGATCACCTTTATCAGGTCCTTAGCTCTCTCTTACTTGAAGGACATCTTTTCTCCTTGGCTTGTAGAGATGAATGTAACTAATCATGTTTTTATTGAAATCTAAGAGCTTTTGATGAAATATAAAGAACAGAAATGGTATAAGATGGTTGGTATCTAAGTGGACTTTGCTTTTTTGCATACATCCATTTGAGGACTACATCTACAATTTCCCTTTTCAATGTTATTAATCATATAATCAAGGTGGGGGTTATGTGCTCNTTGAAATCTAAGAGCTTTTGATGAAATATAAAGAACAGAAATGGCATAAGATGGTTGGTATCTAAGTGGACTTTGCTTTTTTGCATACATCCATTTGAGGACTACATCTACAATTTCCCTTTTCAATGTTATTAATCATATAATCAAGGTGGGGGTTATGTGCTCTCCCTTGGGTACTTGGTAGGGTTTGATGGACACATCAACAATTTGTTTGCAGAGATAACTATCCCCAATAATTGGTGATTGTGCTGATTTGATATTGTTATGCTTCTCTTAGTTCTGGAAGTCACATATTGAAAAGCCAGTGATATTAGTTGGACCAAGCCTTGGAGCAGCTGTTGCAATCGACTTTGTACTCAACCACCCTGAAGCTGTAAGTGTTTTCCAAGTTCATGAAATACATTTGTAGACATTATTGGTCATAATAAGACTGATATAAAGTTTTACTTTTTGTTACAATGGTGTAGTTTTAAATTTGTGCTTTTCATTTCAGGTTGATAAGCTGATTTTGATTGATGCCAGTGTTTATGCAGAAGGAACAGGAAACCTAGCAAAATTACCTAAAGCAGCTGCATATGCTGGGGTGAGAATGTTTTCAGATTTTCTTAAAATGCTGTCGATGAATTGTGATGCCTAATTTGTTTTTTTTTTTATTTTGGGTTTTACGTAGACAGATTTGACCAAATCTTAACTTCATACGTGAATGTCGCGATCTACGCCTATCACTCGAAATCTTACACTCCATAGTGTGTTCCTTTTGGACACCAAATCCTATTCATACTTTGTCAATGTCTTACCATGGTCCTCTGTTGGGCAGGTCTCACTGTTAAAGAGCACTCCCCTGCGCTTGTATGCAACTTTTTTGGCTTTCAATGGTCTTTCATTCAATACTTGCTTAGACTGGATGAATGTGAGTGTCAACAAGTTTATGTTCTTGCAATAGAAACTAATGCAGGGTTTTACAGTTTACAGTTTTTTTTCTTAGGTTGGCCGTCTACATTGCCTATTACCTTGGTGGGACGATGCAACTGTGGATTTTATGAATAGTGGGGGTTATAATGTCAGTGCCCAGATAGGACAGGTATACCCGTACTTGTTTTGCCATTCCATTTGACAAGCAATGCAAAATGTTTGCATATTCCAGTTATACAGTTGTAGAGAGAGAGAGAGAGTTTTATGCTTAGAGGAGAAAAAAAATCAAAAGCTGATATGTGGCAAAGCCCTGCACATAATAGCGCTTAATGGTCGATACAACTNCTGCATATGCTGGGGTGAGAATGTTTTCAGATTTTCTTAAAATGCTGTTGATGAATTGTGATGCCTAATTTGTTTTTTTTTTATTTTGGGTTTTACGTAGACTGATTTGACCAAATCTTAACTTCATACGTGAATGTCGCGATCTATGCCTATCACTCGAAATCTTACACTCCATAGTGTGTTCCTTTTGGACACCAAATCCTATTCATACTTGGTCAATGTCTTACCATGGTCCTCTGTTGGGCAGGTCTCACTGTTAAAGAGCACTCCCCTGCGCTTGTATGCGACTTTTTTGGCTTTCAATGGTCTTTCATTCAATACTTGCTTAGACTGGATGAATGTGAGTGTCAACAAGTTTATGTTCTTGCAATAGAAACTAATGCAGGGTTTTACAGTTTACAGTTTTTTTTCTTAGGTTGGCCGTCTACATTGCCTATTACCTTGGTGGGACGATGCAACTGTGGATTTTATGAATAGTGGGGGTTATAATGTCAGTGCCCAGATAGGACAGGTATACCCGTACTTGTTTTGCCATTCCATTTGACAAGCAATGCAAAATGTTTGCATATTCCAGTTATACAGGTGTAGAGAGAGAGAGAGAGTTTTATGCTTAGAGGAGAAAAAAAATCAAAAGCTGATATGTGGCAAAGCCCTGCACATAATAGCGCTTAATGGTCGATACAACTGATTTTGCACTACATGTTATACTCTGCTCTTCTCATGCCAACGCTCTTGAATACTTTTGCTGTCTATCCATGCTACTGAGTTATGATGTGCAGGTAAACCAGAAAACACTTATAATTTGGGGCGAGAATGATCAAATTATTGACAACAAGCTTGCTGTGGTCAGTTCATTTCCTGAGCTTCGCTGTCATGAGATTAAGTTGAATGTACCAGTGAAATTCCCCCCCCCCCCCCCCCCCCC